AATTAACCCCTCAACAAGTGTAAGGGATTAGTACCTGCGTTTCAACGAATTTTTCGGAAGCCTCCTCCATCAAAGGGACTGGAGCGAACTTCCGGTTGTTAATTTCCAGCAGGTTGGAAGGCAACGAGGAAAGAGGTGGAACGGAGAAGTCGAAGACTTGGAGGAAGTGGCCATTTTAGTAGTGAGTAGGATGAAGAAAAGCAACGGAAAAGATGAAGGTACAGAGATGAAAGCAAGAGCTCAAGGAAGACGATGAAAGTACAGACTTAGGGTAAAAGTTCGCGTAAAAACCAAAACAAAGACCAAGAGAAAGGTTAAAAGAGAAAATCGCCTAGGGAGCTGGAACGACAGATACGAAAAGTAATGAATGTAACGCATCGTAAAAGCAACGTGATCGATATGATAGCGACGTAAAACTGAAAGGGAAACCTAAAACCCTTTTAACCCTAGAACCCCGTAAAACCTAAACCCTAAGTTCTGTGGGCTTTCAAACATTAAAGCGGGAATATTGAAAGAATATAGACTGAAATCATTTATATTCCTTCAAGGGGGCATTTTGTTAGTATGAAATCCAGAAATATGATCAATAAACGAACGAAAGAAATTCGAGGAACGAAATGTATGAAGATCTTTTCGATGATCAATTATAAAGAACGTAGCAAGTACAATCGAAAGGTAGAGTCGGAAAGGTAGGAGTAATAATCGAAAGTTTAACATGGAACCAACCAAGAAATTTGAAGTATATGAAGTTAAGGTTAAAAGGAATCGATGGCAAGTACACAAAGTTCTCGATTAGATCAAAAGCGAAGGGAAGGCTCGTTTACATAGATATCGAAACTCCGGCTAAACCTTGAAGGAAAATAGTCAAAACGCACGCATGGAAAGCAGTTTCTAAGTTATGGAAGAGCCGAAGATCATGAGAACGTGGGGAAACAATAGAAGAAAAACGTCATACGCACGTAGAACGTGGTAACATGTGTTAACTCGCTCTTGGAAGGTTTGAAAGATGCCCTATAAATAGAGCAAAGAAGGAAGGAACGGGGCGTAAATTGGCGGAGAACGGAATCGGTAGTGAAAAGTCTACCGGAGAAACGACGAACACCATGAAGCTTCCGCAATCTGGATTTCTCGCTCACCGAGTACATTTATCGCTTCGTATTTTCCTTGGTAATTTACTTTCGAGCCATTTCAATTCAAGCAATTTCATATTCTTGTATATTACATTCAATGTCATTTCGATTTCCTGTTATTTACTCGTTTATGCAATCTTAATGGGTTTTAGCAATTTACATTTCCCGCACATTTCGATTTCCGTAATTTACTTTTTGTACAATCTTAATGGGTTTTAGCAATTTACATTTCCCGCACATTTCGATTTCCCGTCCTTTATTTATCTTGCAAACTTAATTTCTTGCAAATTTGGGGTTTTCGCACTTTCTTGCAATTTAATATTCTCTTTTCTCGATTCGATACTTTATCGCTTTGTTTGAGTCGAGCATTTTAGACATAAAACACCAAAAATAGTATTTCTCGATACTTATAGTTTTCGACTCTCATACACATTTTCGATTGAAAATCAAATTGCTAGCCTGAGTAAAAAAGAACTTACATGGTAGAATTTCGATTAGGACCAAAACACCCTTAGGATCGAAATCGATCAAAATTCCACCAGAAACAATACTTAACCATTAACTAAACAAGAGAAAGAGAATAAAAAAATATAATTATGCTTAAATCTACTTTTATCCTTATATTTTATACTTATGAGAATATGTAATTCTGGATTTCGTAAAATTTTATTTGTGAATTTAATCAGAATTTTAAAATTAATTAATTTTAATTTACTGTTAATAAATTGTTAGAAAATAGTTATTATATAATAATTGAAATAATTTTATTTTATGGAAGTAAATTATATATTTCAACCTTATAAAGAGATATTAAGATCCAACATAGTCAAAATCCAATTTATTAAATAAAAAAAAATTAAAAGGATAGTCATGAAATGATATTTTCTGAATATAAGGAGGTTCCCATAAAAAGATAAAACTTGGTTTCTCAAGTCTATAAATAGACTCTCACCAAAATTTCTTTGTTTTTCTTGCACGCTTCCTCTGTTTCCACTTAAGGTAGTAGGGTGATGATTTCTCTCCTTAATCTTTTTTATACTTACTTCGTTTATTTCTCGATATGTTGGTTACTTTAAAATCGTGACTAAGCTAAATATTATTTTTTAAAAATTATTTTAAAAGTAGTCTCAAATTAAGGAATACTTTGTTAAAAAATTTACTTACTTTTTATATTATTTCTTTATTTTTTACAATAATTAAATACATTAACCCAAAAAGCAGCCTACCTAAATTTCATGAGTCAATAAAAATTTCATAATTTTAGTTTTACATGATAAAATGTCTTGAAACTAATTATAAACTAGGGTAAAAGATATTAAAAATAGTAACTAAAAACATTTTTGAAAACGAATGAGTTACGTGTTGAAAACTTCAAATAGAGTGATATAACTACACTGATTTAAATATATCATTTGGAAAGGAATATTCAAAATCTAGTTATAGTTTTTGACACTCCGCTTAATAATATTTTCAATCACATATAATTTATAATCTTTTGGATTTCATTTGAAATTTTAAATGAATTTTCATTGTAGAGACTATAAGGTGAAAAAGTATAACGGATTTGATATTTGTTTTATTTACTTTTTATGTTTCACTAATTCAAAATGATATTAGACCATGATCTTCAAAATATTTTGAAACAAAAAACTCTATTTTAAAAAAAGTAATAAAACTTTTTTTTATTTGTTTTTGTATTAATTGGTAAGGTTCTTTTAAAAAGAAAACTAATACAATTTCTTAAAACTATATTTAGTAATAAGTTTTCCACCATTACATGACTTTTGTTTATTTGATTTTATGTGTGTTGAATGAAATTGTATAATATAAAGAGTACAAATGAATTTGTATAATACAAAGAGTACAAATGAAATTGACTTTGTGTGTATACCTATTTTGCACTGTTTTGTTTATCTAAATGACACGAGTTTTTTTTTTTTTTTTTGGAAAATAGACTTTAAATTATTTCTTAATATTCTAGTTACGTTTTTAATCACACAATGATTTTTTTTAACAAAAAAAGAGCTATGATACTTTGAAATTGGTACTTCTGTCTCACAAATTTCATACGAAATGACTTGAATTCTTAATTATTTGTATTAATTGGTAATAATTTTTTTTAATATATATATATATATATATATATATATTATTTATTAGTTTTTATATGTTAAGATAATTTAAATCACTACTTGATTTCTATTTTGAAACTATTAATTTAAAAAAATTCTTTATCCACTTATATGGGTATATATAATTCTCTACAAATATTGTTTATAATTTATTAATTATTTATGCTGATCGCCTTTACCTTTTCTACCTGGATATATATTCACCTTTTGTGGGTTGTTACTGGCTTCAGAATTCTTACATAAAGTGAATATATTTGGGTACATAATCTAAAATGATAACATAATAAATGATGGATATTGCAACAATCCCATCTTCATTCAAAATTTCCTTTAGTTGTTAATAGTGTATGGATCAGATTATGATCCCAACTCCTCGGAGGAAACACAATCCTCATGTTTTGAGAACATAACGCAAAAATAAATGTTAATAAATATCTATATAAATTATTAAATAAAATTATAATTCAAGTTTTTGTGTAATTTAAGCAATAATTGGTTCGTAGATTTGATATTTTTTATTTTCATTCTCCTTCTTTTGTACGTAATAAAAATACAATATTGAAATAATAAATAGAATTATGGTTTGTACATGGTTGTTTGGAGAAAAAGCACATGGCGCGTGTAATTTGCTATAAATGATATTAAATTGACTGTGACCTGATATGAGAATATTTTAGATGCAAAAAATTAAAGAAATTAAAAAGAAAAGAATAAAGAAATGTAAGGGAGAGCATGAGAAGGCAGACTCCTTTTCTCTCTCTGTTTTGGCCACTACTCACACAACCGTCATTAAATGACATTCGCGTGAGCCAAATCACAAGAGACATGTCGCCAGAGTGTGCGTGATTGCGAATCCACGCATCCATCTCATTCATTCCCCACTCTCTCAAAGGCATCTCTTTCAACCATCACACTGCCCTTTCAGCTCCTCACGCACCTACGTTCCAACAAGGTTTGCTTTTCATATCCATTCCCGCTATTTCATTCTCCAATATTTAACTTCTGTTTTTAACTACAAGTACTTCCTCTTCTCTTCTTTTCTATTCTTTTTTTTTTCGCCTCTCTTCTGTCACTGCTTCATCAGATTCCAGGCGTTTATATGTGTGTTTCAGTCTTGGCCTTTTATTCTAATTGATTTTCCATTTTATTCCTTTTCGTTTCTCTCAGTCAACGCTGCCGTTTTACGGCAGTGTGTAAACGGATCGGTTTGAGAAGAAAGGAAAAACAAATTTAGGTGGAAAAGGTTGACCTTCTTCGTGTTGGACTCGCTGAACGATTCAGGATTGGTGTTTTTTTTTTTTTTTTCGGTTGTCTTTGTTTGAATAGATCGGTCGGTTGCTTGTATTTTATTTTGTGAACTAGTTTTTGTACTCGCTGAACGAAGGGGCCCCGGGAGAGTACATAAAGAATTGTTAGGTGTTTCGGTATGTTACTGTGACGTGTTTTGGTTTGATTGTGATTAAGGTGATGTAGTAAGTGTGATTAAGTACATTACAGTGGCGTTGTTGGTTTTGATTTGATTGTCATGTATATTTTTGGGGGAATCCGAAATGGGAACCTTGTGTTTATTAAGGGGAGTTCTTCATTATGAGTGTCTGATTGTTGCTAATTTCCGGTTGTTTTGTTCTTATGTTTCAACTTTCATGATTATGTGTTGTTCTAGATGTTGATTTGAAGAGGAAATGTAATCTTGAAGTTTTGTGCTGCAGGTTGAGAGCTAGTGCGTTTGGTGGACACCATGTTCCTTCTTAGAAGGCAAGGCCAGAATCAGCAGGAGAATGATTCCTCAAAACAAGATACAAAGGTAAACCTTTTTGTTAACTCAGAAGTTCCATAATAGATCTTGAAAAATCCCAAAGATGAGTTCTAACAATACACTCTGCAATTCACACTCTTCTTGATTGAATTTGTTTAAAACTACAAAATCATAAGCCGGGTTCGGTAAAGAGGAAGTGGATCCCTTATGATTCTGTGATTTTCAAAAACTTTTAGCCAATAATAGAGAATATATCAGAGAAAATGTTTCCAGTATTTATCAAATTATAAATACGAAGTTATTTTGAATCTATTATTCTCTTCATGGCAATTAGCATCCTGTAAGGATGATGGGAACTTTTGTATACTTGTCTGTAAGAAAAGACATTCATGGAATGCTAACTGTTATGAGGACCAAGTGTAACACATCTGCAAACAGGTGAATGATCTCAGGGCTGCCCTTGGGCCCCTCCCTGGTCGTCGATTACAGTATTGCACGGATGCGTGTCTAAGGAGATATTTAGAAGCAAGGAATTGGAATGTTGATAAAGCCAAGAAAATGGTGGAGGAATCACTCAAGTGGCGGGAAACTTATAAGCCAGAAGAAATTCGTTGGGTTAGTTTAATTTAACTGACTTTAATCCCCATATGTTCAATTTGGTGATGCCAAAAATGGAATTGATTATTTCAGACTTATAACACTGATCCATGTTGTAAACAATTTGGCAAATAGATGATGATGGATCAACATATCAGTATATGGTCTTCATGTTTATCGTCTTTCTAACTTGTCTTGAGCTGACATGATACTCTGTATGTTATTTATGGATCCAAACAGGGCATTAATGAAACCATAAAACCAAGTGATCGTTTGTTTATGGATATTATATACCCTGTATTTACAATTGAATAACTTCCTACATCCAGGCTGAAGTAGCACATGAGGGTGAGACAGGCAAAGTCTCTAGAGCTAACTTTCATGATCGACATGGGAGGACCGTGCTTATTATGAGGCCAGGGATGCAGGTTTGTACAATGATGTATCTTCAGTAAGGCTTCACTGTACACGGCCGGTTATCTTAATTTGGCTAATCTGTTTTCTTTTGTTAGAACACAACATCTGCCGAAGATAATATCAGGCATTTAGTCTATCTGATGGAAAATGCTATCCTAAATCTTCCTGAAGGTCAAGAACAAATGTCATGGTTGATAGACTACACAGGATTATCACTTAATACAAATGTTTCTGTTAAAACAGCTCGTGATATTATTTACATTTTACAAAACCACTATCCGGAAAGGCTTGCTATTGCTTTTCTGTACAATCCACCAAGAATTTTCCAGGCTTTCTGGAAGGTTTGTTCTCCTTCCCTGCAAGTTATACTTGGTCTGCTTTTGCATGGCGTTATTTATTTTTCCTAATAGGAAGTTTGTATTGCACGGTGGTGGTTTCTATCCTTTATATTTTACTTTTAAATATAAGGCAATACTGTAAGCCTTTTTGCTTATGTTGAAGTTATTATGTTCGGTATTACTTTTAACTTTATTACTTCTATGATTGTACTCGATTTGAGGTTGAATTTGAGCTTTTAACAATTACATCTTCCATTTGACAAATTTGAAATTGGTCTCATTTTGATAGGCCGTCAAGTTCTTCCTGGATCCCAAGACAGTCCAGAAGGTTAAGTTTGTTTATCCGAATAATAAGGACAGTGTGGAGCTGATGAGATCATTCTTCGACCTAGATAACCTTCCAAGTGAATTTGGGGGCAAAACAAGTTTAAAGTATGACCATGAAGAGTTCTCACGGTTGATGACCGAGGATGACGCGAAAACTGCCAAGTTCTGGGGACTTGATGAGAAGCCCTTCAACCCTCCTAAGAAAGGGCATGCTGGAGCAGAGGTGGCACCAGAACCCGTGTCTGCTCAGACAGTAGTTAGTTAGTTGAGCTAGTTTTCATACTGTAGTCATTTATATACTGAAGTGACTACATGTCTGAATCATGAAGGACCCAGCAATTCTGTGGCTAGTTTAAGGAGCCGAATAAGCGGGTAAATGGTATCGTTAGACTTTTAACCATTTATGGCAATGGCAATCGCAGCTATAGTCCCTCTTTATAGGTAAGCGAACTTAAATTATGATTGGATATTCTGACTATATATGTCAATTTAGCCTGTGCAAATTGAGTTTCTCCTTGTTAGACTTGTCTTTGCTCTGTCAATCTATAAACAAATTATGAAAGCTGAACGTAAAGAGAGAACAAAATCAGTGAAATTGATTTTTCTTAATTGATTTGGATAGGACTTAGATTCAATTTTGAATATCAATTTCAAATTTAAAATTCCAATGAGTTTATTTTCATCGCCTACCTACTCAAATCTCATATTTATTATTTTAATGTATTAATTTTAAATTAATTTAAATATATTCATGAGTTGTATTTTATTTAAATATTAGTTAATATGGTATTTCTAAATAAAAAAATATCACTTTATCAAATATATAAAAAAGGTGAGTGTTATTAGTTAAAAATATGCAAGTGAATAATTTTTGCTAAAAATGTAATGGAAGTGAATCTTTAATTTAAAATTAGAAGAGATGTGTAGTGTAATTTTTCCAAGTTAAAAATGTTACAATTCTTATACTAATCCTTTATCTCATAAATAAATAAATACATATCTCATAAATAAAAGAATGCATAGAAAAAAGATGACATTAATTTCTTGATGATATAATTCACCAAACATTTAATTAAAATAATGTTAGATCAACAAATTATTTTGCCTGAATAATCTAACTAAGTACAAATTAATTTCAATTTGTGAACTTGCATGATTATCATAATCCACATGACAGTAGTTTGAGTATCTTTCTTAAGAGAATATTTTGCTATAAATGAAAGTTTATTGATGAAAATTTGAAATTGCACAAAAGATCTACTCAGTCAAATAAGTATGGAAATAAAACATCATAATCATGAGTGATTGACCCTCCACCCCATTAAATTGCAATATCCAATCTTTGAAATATCTTGGTTGTCCGACATGATACATATTTTTAATACACCCTATTTTAAAGATACTTTTTTCTCTATACAACATTTTTAATGCTTGTATTTTGTAATTTTTCATTTTTTATATATAAAAAACATTTATTACGGGTTTATTCTTCATAATTTTAAAATTTAGCAACATTGATTCTATAAGTACAACTTTATAACGTGACATTTTAGGAAGACGTAGCACCATCATGCGAATATGATAGATGATATGACGGTATGACTCATATGTTAACATGATATTGACATTATAGAGAATCAAAATTGTATAATAGTGATATTTATTAGATATTGAAAATACATATTTAACTTTGTTTTCCTCATTTTTTATTCATTTTATTTAAATAAGTAAATAAATATTTTTAATTTACACTAATATTCGTAAATAATGTTTAACGTGGAAGAAAAACACATCCAAACAAAAAGAAAAACTAACAATATATACCAATAAGTTATTAGGACCGTGTAACACGGGTTGAATCATTTTTATTTTTAAAGAATAAAATTAAAGAGATTTGAACAATAATAATTTATTTTATTTTATTTTTTCACTTTACCTCAAACAATAATTATAAGACAATGACAACGATGATATTTATTATAACTAATTTATTAATTTATAAAAACTTTAGATTATTATTAAGTTAATTTTGTTCTTAATATATTATTAAAAAATATACTAAATTCGATTCATTAGGGATTTGATACACAGTGTGTGTTAAATAGTTTTATAGTGTTTTCTTTGCCATAGTCACTGTTTTCTTTGCCAACTGCTATCAATAAATTCATAACTTGTGAATGCAAAAATGATTGAAGTTGATGATCTTAGTGGATGCAGAAAACATGAATAAATATCGTAAAAGTCAAGAGTTAATACGGCTTAACCTATGAACATGGAAATTGCAAACATCGTTTTTTATCTAATATTAAAATATTTTCTTTGTATAAAAATAAATATATAAAATATCCCTAACTTTTATTATGTTGTTTTCATTATTATTTTTTTTATATAATAATCCTGTCTATATATCATATTGACCTTCACTAATGATTAGTTAGATAATAACTAACAATCTTATTCATATAATAATTATCATATATAATAATACGAGTACTAATCATGGTTATGTTGATTACATTTAATTTTGTTAATGATTTGATGATTACTTTCTAATTATTTTAGTCTGGATTGTATTTTAATTTTATTGATTATTATCGTCATGTTCTCTTATAAGATTAAAGTAAGTATTCTCAATGTAATATATATATATATATATATATATATATATATATATATATATATATATATATCACTTTCTCTAATATTTATTCATCAATTTTATAAATTAAAAAAATATCAATTTTATATAAATTAATAAAATATTAATTTTAAAATAATAATATTTAACATATAAGATTTACTGAAAAAAATATATATTGTTTTCATCTAAGTATTGTAAACATTTTAAGTACATAATTCAGTTGAAACTTAGATTTAGTTTTATTAGTGTTTTATGTTTAAAGAATGCCTCATAATTTGAAGTACGGTTGTACATATAAATTATTTATAAGTTTAATTCATAAATAAATAGGATAAGACTTTTAGACTGAATAATACAAATTTATTAATAAAGAATTAAGAGATTGAAATGACTTTCATTGTTCTTTTCTTTTTTTATAAATGGATAATATTAATATTCTGACCTTAACTTTTTTAAAATAATATTCTTTACAATTAATTATTATATATGAGATATTATTGATTTTAGAACTCAAATTTGACTTTGTCTTAATTTTATTATTAGAAGACCGTTGATTAAAGGAAGATGAAGTTTATAATTATCATTAGCGCGACATGAGACTTTCGGACTTTCTGAAACAAGACTCCTAATAAGGGATAAAGAGTAAAAATAGTCGAGCTTATTTGATTTAATTTATTTTTTTAGTTAACAGTTTTAGAGATCAATTTTAAAAATCTGATATTAAAATAAATGTTAAAAAACTTGTTTAATATTTTTTATTTTTTAAATAAAAGAATATGATATAAATAATCATAAAAAAGTAAGACGAAAATTAGAAAATAATTCTAATAATATTATAGTAATACAAATAAGTAATTTAATTAATTATTAAATAAAATATTGATACCTATTAGTGGAAATAGACAATATCTTTTATTAATTTTGATTTTTTTAGTTTTTAAAAACTAAAATAATTTTCAGAAACTGTTATAGCAAAAGAATAACATTTTTTTTGTTGTTGTTAAAAACTAAAAATAATTTTGAAAACAGAAAATAAACAAGTCCAAAGTTTTTTTTTTAATTAATTGAGAAGAAAACCAGAATTTCACTTAATTTTTGTTTCATATCTACCATTCAATCTATATTTATGTGTAAAAAGATTGCATTAATTTAAAAATTAATATTATCATATTAATATTAATAAATGGAATACGTCGTTCTTAGTAAATTAGTATAAATCAGTTTATTTTATAAAAGCAAAATAAAAAATTATAAAAGATAAGTATAGGTATTAATTACTTAATAATTTACTAGTTTTATATAAATAAACAGGTCCCGTAGCTCAGTTGGTTAGAGCGTTGGTCTTATGAGCCGAAGGTCGCGGGTTCGAGCCCCGCCGGGACCAAATTATAAAGTTTTCTTTTATCTTTCTCTCTATATCACTTACAATTTTATCTATAATATAACTCAATTAATTTTTTCAATACTTAACTAACACTTATTTTTTATTCTTTTCCTTCATATTACATAAATATTATTTTTTAATGACTTGCTGGTATCTTCGATCGAAATAAAATTCGTTGTAGTTGAATGAAATTATTATAAATAAGATTGTTTTTTACCCGAAATTGTGAAATTAAGAGAATATCGTACCATTTGATTTATCATTAAGCGAGTGAATCTTTCAAACACATTACTGCAACGTAAAAATTACAAATACGGGGGATACAAAATCCAATGGAATGAAAAATTTCCTCAACAACTACGTTCGAAAATTTTGACCATTGAAATACAAAATCTTGAATTCCATTAGAAAGAAAGCATATTGAGAAACCTATCCCTTCCCAACGAAACGATAAACAACGACGCCAACCCTAGTTCCATGGCAAGGAGTATCAGTATGCAAAACGTCAACATGGAAGTGCTTCTTCGCCTTCTTAAAAAACGCCGATTCCTTCTTCCACCTCTTCTTGTGCGCCATCACAAACACCATCTTCTCGTTCCCCTCTCTCTCCGCACCCTTACTTAGCATCATCAAACGCAGCGTTTTTAGCAGAGGCTCATACAGGTGATCGTGATACACTACATCCGACGCCAGAATAAGATCGAACTCCCGCCCGATCGCTTCCACGTCATCATCGTGGCCCCACCTCAGAGGCGCAACGGTTAATTTCCCGCCACTGGGCCCCATCACCCCCGCGTTCGCGTCGGCATTGAATTGGAGATTGGGAACCACGTGAGGGAGGTCCGTGAGGGTCACGTGGCCGCCGAGAGTGGCTGCGGCGACGATCCCCACGATGCCGGTGCCGGATCCGAGCTCGAGGATCCTGCGGCGGCCCTGGAGCGCCGCGAAGAGGGGGCTGGAGAGAGGGTCGGCGCGGTGGCGATCGAGGAGGGAGACGAGGGAGGTGGCGGCGGGCCAGAGCTGGAAGGAGAGGCCCTCAGAAGGTAGCTGGCGAATGGTGAGCGTTGACTGAATGGAAGGGAGAGAATGGTTTTGGAGCAGGTGGTGATTCGGTGCACCCTCGTTTAGGGTAGTGGAGGGTCCGGGTTCGGCGTCATCGTTTAGGAGGAGCATTGTGAAGGGGTTTATTATCTGCCCCTCTTCGTTTTCTTCAGTGGCCATTCTTTTCGCCTTGACCGTTGAGGTTTTGACTTCGCTGTACGCCGTCGCGGACGACGACGTTAGGGCATGTTTAGGCTTCCCATTTATGTTTATTTCAAAGTGAAGTGCTCTGATTTTACTTTTTTGTCATTGTCAGTTTAAAATACCTGGTTAATTTTGCTCTTTTTTTTTTGCTGAAAATTATAAGATAGTGTTATTTTTGTAGAGAAGTCACCGCTAAAGTGAAAATTATTACAAATTTTGTTAAATTATGATGATTTAAAAACAATACTCTCGCGGAATTTTGTACTTGTGCGACGCTTATTCTATGGAAGATAAAATATGTGATATTTTACAGAGTAAAATTTGAAAAAAAAATAATATAATTTTTTTCAAATTGTATATATTAAGTTAACTGTTCATTTATTAATTTAAGGGATATAATTAATAAGTGTTAGTGAAATTATTCATCATATTAAATAGTTTATTTTATATGTGTTATTAGTGTGAAACAATTATACAGTTATTCAATAAAAATTTACATTTTCATCGCATCATCGTCTCGGGAAATATGACACATAAAAGAAAAATGGTAAAATTTATGGAATGTGTATATGAAAATATTTATGCTAACAATGTACATAACTTGTTTCATTCTTATTTTTGAAATAATTTTAAATATTCATACTAAATGTTTTTTCGAAAGTGATATTGGCAGAAATTATTTTAAACCATCTCTTTTTTAAAGTTCATCAATGATAATGATTTCAAATATCATATTTAATTCAAAATTAGGAAATTGTCATTTTGCCTAAAACCATATTTTCATATTTTAGAGAGTGCTTAATAATTTATTATTATTATTATTATTTCTAATATTTTCAATTATTTTCTATTCCATAGGATGCTAAACCTTCTTAACTATTTGAGCACAAAAGAAAAATTGAAGATCTAAATGTAAAAATAATACAAGAGGATATATTCTTTCTTCTCTTCATTAGCTGTAATTATTTTTTTGGCCTCTATTTGTGTCCACCTTAGACGCACAAATTTGTAATCCTAAGACGCTGCCAGTGGTGTGGGCTTAAACGAAGCAACCAAATTATTACTATTGACAAATTGGATAAACGGTGCGTTTAAGAATTCGGTTATTCTTCACAGTTTGCAGTGAGACCAAGGATAACACTGACCATCGGCGATCGTTTCGATTGAAGACTCAGCTGGTGCATCCCGTTCACACTCCTGTTCAATTTCAAGCTTTTTTTCTATTTCATTTTCTTCAAATCTCGTTTCATGTAATTCATCGTAAGATTGCTTCACTTTCATAAATCAAGGATTCGTTTTGGTGTGCTGTGTAAGAAGTTGAATTTGAGTTATGATAAGAAAAGGAACTCCAATGTTTATATGTATATGCTTAATTAGTTCCAGAAGGAAGCAAGATGATAAAAGCAGTGCTGGTGATGAACACGCAGGGGAAGCCTCGTCTCGCCAAATTCTACGAATTTAAGGTCCCTCCTCTCTCTTCAAACCCTTGGTATCAGCATTTCCATTTATCGTTTAATTGATGCATTTTCAACACCTTTTTTTTTTTCTTTTCGTGGTGGATCAGCCCGTGGAGCAGCAGCAGGAAGCTATTCGCAATGTGTTTTCAGGTGTGCCTCTCTCGCCTTCTTTGATTTTGTTTTCAATTTTGCTTTCCTTTTTTGTCAATTTGTCTCTTTTGCAGTATTATGCAGTAGACCTGAAAATGTCAGCAATTTTGTGGATGCTGAATCCTTCTTTGGCCCGGTACTTCTCTGCTTGCTGTAAATTTGATTTGTTTCTATGATTTGTTTATTTTAATTATCATTAATTAGGCGTTGGAATAATTTTTTTTTGAAATTAGGGCTTTCTCTGTGCACTGTTTGTTGGCATAGTACTGCTTCAAAAGAGTTTATGGATTTGTATTGGCATATGGTGGTGGCAAGAGTAATAGCTAGGACTGAATTACCATGAACTTGCTTTGAATCTAAAATTAGAAGAACTGCTACGATCGTACTTGTGACTGTGCTTTTATTTTAACTTGATAGCGAACTGGTGTCGCCAGTGTTCTTTTGAGTAATTCTTTGGTTTGTTTAGAGTAATACTATTATCTCAACTTTCTTCATTTGGGGAAAGGAAGTATGGATTTATTTATTGTATTATCTTGCAGGACTCTCGCCTTGTCTACAAGCACTTTGCAACTTTATATTTTGTGTTCATTTTTGATAGTTCTGAAAACGAGCTTGCTATGCTTGACTTGATACAAGGTAGATTCTATTATTACCTAACTATTTACTGCATTGAATTAAATATCAAAGTCGAAAAAATCTGTCTGCTGAATATATAATTGATAATTTTACTCAGTAATGGTAACTTATCGGTGTCTTGGAATCAATGAATTTGTCTTGAGTGTCTTAACGAAGCTAGGATGTTTTGATTGAAAACTGGATTCAATTTTTTTTTATATTAATATTATTCTTAAGAATTGGAAATTTGACACCATGGAATGACATTTCTAAATGACCCTGGATAAAAATTGATTGTGCCTGCTCAAGATCTATTATAAAAATGGTGAATTTTAAATTTTAGTTAAATATGATGTAACTCAACGCTGCAATACTTGTTTTATCATTACTTGCATCAAAGGAATTTAGATTAATATTTTTAATACACTTTATCAAGTGCCTCCCAAAGTAGGTAATCTATAAGGCATGGGATCTTGCTTATACTGATTTTTACCATCCTTATGACTACATCTTGCTTCTAGGCCGACTAACATAAGAAAATGTATGATATGCTATGAATTATAATCACAAATGACATAATTTTTTAAATGGATGTTGTTGAATATAGTGAAAAACTAGGTACAGGTTAATTCCCTTATGTCTAAAATACACATAGGTAATATATTTATAATTAAAAGTCATACAAGTAAATATGGTAAATACATATATTGTGACTAATAATATCTAAAATACCTAACACTTCCGCTTAAGCTTATGCATATAAATCATATGTACCAAGCTTGTTACAAATATAATCAATTCTAGGTCTCCGGAAAGACTTGGTGAAAATATCTGTTAATTGTTCACTTGAGTTAACAAACACGGTCTTAATGTCTCCAGATACAATCTTTTCTCGAATAAAATGATAGTCAACTTTAATGTGTTTGGCCTTTTCATGAAAGACAGGATTATAACTAATATAAAGAGGAACCTGGTTGTCACATATAAGTGTCATTTGAGTGATATCTCTAAATTGCAATTCTTTAACTAATTGTTTAAGCCAAACAAGTTCACAAGTGGTTGAGGCCATAACTCTATATTTTGCTTCTGCACTAGATCTTGCTATAACACTTTGTTTCTTGCTCTTCCAAGAGATCAAGTTACCTCCAATAGAAACACAGTATCCGGAAATAGATATCCTATCAGAAGGAGATCCTGCCCAGTCAGCATCTGAATAACTGACAACTTTAGTCTGGTTATTGTGATTATATAACAAATCTTTTCCAGGAAATCCTTTAATGTATTTTAATATATGAATGACTGCACTCCAATGATTTGCACATGGGAAATTAAGAAATTGACTCACCACACTAACTGCAAAGGAAATGTCAGGACAAGTAACAATAAGATAGTTTAATTTTCCAACTAATCTTCTGTACTTCTCAGGATATGAGAGAGACTCCCCCTGATTAGGTAGGAGTTTGGTATTGGGATTCATGGGTGTGTCAACAGATTTTGAGTTCATCAACCCAGTTTATTATAAAATATCCAATGCATACTTTCTCTGATATATAACAATGCCATTATTAGATTCTGCTACCTCAATCCCCAAGAAATATCTAAGTTTACCAATATCTTTGGTCTGAAAGTGGTGACAAAGGTATTACTTCATCTGGGAGATGTCATGGTGATCACTCCCTGTAAAATCAATATCATCAACATGTACTATTAAATAAATACACCCAACACTTAAGTGACGGTAAAATACTGAATGATCCGCCTCACTGTGAGTCATACCAAACTGCTGAACAACACTGCTAAATTTTTCAAACTAGGTCTTAAGAGATTGTTTTAGGCTATATAAAGATTTGTGAAGACGACATACCAATCCGGAAAATTCCCCTTGAGCAACAAAGCCTGGAGGTTGCTCCATATAAATTTCTTCCTGCAAATCTCGGTTAAAAAAAGTATTTTTGACATCCAGTTGGTAAAGAGGTCATTGTTGAAGAGCAGCCATGACTATGAATAAGCGATCAAAAGTCATCTTTGCCACTGGAGAAAAGGTGTCACCATAGTCCAAACAAAAAATTTGTGTGTAACCTTTGGCCACAAGACGAGCTTTGAGACGGTCAATAGTACCATCAGGACCAACTTTGATAGAAAACACCCACTTGCAACCAACAGATTTCCCATACGATAATGGGACGAGTTCCCAAGTTCCACTATTTTGAAAATCACTCATTTCATCAAGCATAGCTTGATGCCAGCCAGGAAGGGCTAAGGCCTCATCAACGGATTTGAGAATTGACACAGAAGAAATGGACGAAAGACAGGTATAAAAAGGTAGAGATAATCTATGGTAACTCAAAGCAGTATAACGAGGAGAGAGATTACGAGTAGAACATATACCTTTACGAAGAGCAATTGGAAGGTCAAACCCAGGAGGAGACAAACGAGTTGGCACTAGACGTGATTCATTTGGTGGTTGTTGGAATTATTGTCTTTGATTATAAACCTGAAGTGGTGGTGGTAGAGGAGAATCCAAAGGTGGGTTAACAGGAGAATCACACAATAGGAATATTGACAGTAACAGATGACGACATACATGAAAAAGAAAAACACTTAAAATAAAAGGAAGACTCATTCAGTGTGACATCTTTAGAAATAAAATAACGGTTAAGAGAAGGAGAGAAACACTTATATCCATTTTGTGATGAAGTAAATCCTAAAAAAACACATTTGTGTGATTTAGAAAATAACTTATTAAGATCATGACTAAAATTATGAACAAAACATGTAGACCCAAAAACATTAAGAGGTAAGGGATGTAGAGGTTCAAGAGGAAATAAAAGAAAATAAGGAATTTTGTTATTTAGAACCGAAGTTGAAGATAACATGCAGTAAGATCAACATCACCTAAAAAATGTTTAGGAACCTCACTATGAATTATTTCAACAAGATGTCTATTCTTGCGCTCAACCACCCCATTTTGTTGAGGTGTATAAGCACATAAAGTTTGATGAAGAATGTCATGAGAAGTCATAATATTTTTAAAAGAATGAGAAAAATATTCACAACCATTATCACTTCACAAAATTCAAATAAAAATCCCAAACTGAGTTTTAATTTCATTAAAAAAGGATTGAAATATAGAAAATAATTTAGAACGATTTTTCATTAAAAACAATCAATACTTCTAGAATAATCATCAATAAAGGTAATAAAATACTGAAAACCTAAATTAGATTTAACACGATTAAGTCCCCAAATGTCAGGGTAAACTAATGTAAAAGGGGACGAAGCACGTTGTGAGACACTACGAGGAAATGAACTACAACTATGTTACCCTAATTGACATGACTCACATAATAAACTAGATAAATTAGACAAACTGGAAACAAGTTGTTGCAATTTGGCAAGACTGGGTGACCTAGCTGAGCATAGAGGAGAGATAGAGACTCCATAATTGTATCAACATATGTAGAAAGACGGAGATGATAAAAACCATGAGTGTTCATAATTGTACCAAGATGTTTAGAAGGGTGGAGATGATAAAGACCATGAGACTCACATCCGGTGCCAATCATCTGTCTCGAACTCTGGTCCTGTAAGCAAACAAAATCTTTAGTAAAAGAAATAACATAATTAAGAGAACGAGTTAGACAACTAATGGATAATAAGTTAAAGGGAGATCCAAAGACATAAAGAACATTACCAATGGATAAAGATGAAAAAAGTTTAACAGTATCATACCATGAGGCAAAACCTTAGACCCATTAGCCATTGTAATCGAAGGTAAACTATTCGAAGAGGATAAAGAAGAAAACAAAGATATGTTCCCAATAATATGATCTGTGGCGCCTGAGTTAAAAATTCAAGGTCCAATAGAAGGAGATTGAGTTAGGTTAACAAAAGATGTACCTGTGAATGCAACAGAAGTTAGAGTTCTGACGAGCCTCATACCATTTGAAAAATTCATTGAAAATAGTAGATTTATTTGCGGTATAAGATGACGTAAGATCTATAGTAGATAATTGTGGGATAGCGAAAGAAACCATGGAGGAAGAGAGAGAAAAAACTTTAAACACTTTAAATAGTGCGTGGAAACTTTGATCGCGACGATCTCAATGACATGGTGGTTTCCTAGTCGAGATGAGCAAAACAGTATGGTTGCCGGTCTGAAATGTGACTCGGGTGGCGATGATGGCTCCGGCGACAGTGGCGGCAGGTGCATCTGCAGCGGCGGCAATAAAACAAAGAGAACCTAAGCTTTGATACCATGTTGAATATAGTGAAAAACTAGGTATAGGGATAATTTCCTTGTATCTAAAATATACGTAGGGTAATATATTTATAATTAAGAGTTATACAAGTAAATATGGTAAATACATATATTGAGACTAATAATATCTATAATATCTAAAATATCTAACAGGTATCATCAATATGATGAAGGTAAGGATAACCAATGAAACTTCTTTAAATCAGGAATTGGTTGAGGACTAAGACGATTGGATTTAGACTTGGCGTATTGTTGTCCTAAGTTTTTGGATCCTTTTAGGTATGAACATCTAACATATTTAATACTTGGAAACTTACTGAAAGTTATAATAATGAAAACATGGATGAGAAGATAGAAACTTTTCTAGAATTTCCTACTCACAGACTGTAATTTTAGGACTTCATACATACAATAATCATCCCAAAACTAATGGAAATAATAAAAAATAAATACTAAAAATTATTCCATGTGAATAATATTAAAATTATATGAGAAACCGTTTATATCTTTTAAATCATTCTGATCTCTGGGTAGAGCTTAATGATGTCATCTGATCCATTACGTTGCCAACTTGGTATTGTGGGATATGACTTAGTGGTTGTTAAGCATGTGAAAGAATACCCATATGCATACGCATTTACATTCTTGATTTTTAGGGAAAAAAAATTTAATCCAAGTTTCTAGGAAAATGCTGTGAAACATAATTGCAAGTTGTTACTAACAACACTTTTCATGAAATCTTAATTTGAATTTTTATTTGGGCTAAATGTTTTTGTGGTTATTTTGCATTTTTCTCTTTCTGGACTCTATTGGAGGTAATAGTGTTAATTGTTAGTAGTCTACTTAACCTTTAAATCAGTCATTTTCTTTTACCGTTTCAATTTGTGCCAAGGATCCTGGTGGATTAATTAATTTGCCTTATATTATTATCTATTACATTCTGCATGGCTATTATGTAGAGATATGGTAACAATTGTTCTTGACTGCCTCTTACATAGTTAATTTTTTGGTTTGATTTGCTTACTATGTCCCTTTCTGCCTTCAGTCTTTGTTGAAACATTGGACAAATGCTTCAGAAATGTATGTGAGCTTGATATCGTGTTCAACTATAGTAAGGTTGTATACTTTGTGCCCTCGATTCTAAATCTTACATTCTTTATCTCAAATTAATGTACCCCTGTATCAAAAAATGAAGTAGAAACTATTATGGTTTTCCGAAGCATCTTTTGCTGCATATATATAATTTTCTGGAATTTGCTTCAGTCTGTGAGTTTGACTTGTTAGATTCTCAAATATGAAGCAATTGACAATGTTAGACTTTGACTTTTTACTCAAAATTTGTAGGAATTGACAACTCCTTTATATTTTCTTTTCCCCAATAATTTTGGGTTGTTTTGGAAATGGCCTTTAATTCAGGGAAATCAATTCACTCTTTTGCTCAGTAGCTCAATGGTGATGCTTCAACCAAAGCAAATCTGCATTTTAAATTTCCATTAATTTGATACCAAAATATTAGTTCATTTGCAGATGCATACTATACTAGATGAGATCATTCTTGGAGGCCAGGTGTTGGAGACAAGTTCGACCGAGGTTATGAAAGCTATTGAAGAAATAGCAAGGTGCTCTCTCTTTCCCTTCTAGTTTTCAGCATGATATTTCTTTTTTTACACTAGTGATAGAACTGGTTCAGAATAAAAAGGGAAGAATGATTTTTTATTGATGAACTCTAAATCATAATTATTGTGCCAATGTGGTACCAGCCTTACGTTTATAAGATACAAAGTGAATGATTTCCTTGGATATTCAAGAGATAGGACTCTCCCCACTCTTCTATTCTATTACTTTCTCGAATAATAAGATAATTTGAATGTAAACCTCCCCTTCTTTAGTTATAGGAAATTATACCTTATTTCTTCTACTATCTCATCCGCCTAAATAACCTAACTAACTCCCTCAAAAGTATAGACCTAACACAGTCTATCAATACTCCCAGTCACCTTAAAGTTTCACCGTGTCCTGAAGGTTGGAGCTGTTAAATTGAAGTTCTATTTAACGTTCGACTGATTAAAGCATGATGACCAAGCCAATCTGCAGCCCAATAATAGATTCCAATCCTTTCAAGTCAAACACAAAATACGTAAACGGCTCCATGCTCCTTTAGTTTCTTGTTTTAAATGTCATATTTGGCCATGAAACAGAGTAACTATACCGAGACCTCCATTGTTGCCATTGGTTTAGTCCTTGGCTGTCCCATTGTGGTAAACATAGGACTTACCTCAATTTTAACATCCTCTTTGCAACCCAAAAAAAGACCTGTGTTTGCCACTATGATTCTTGATATCAAAGAACTTCATTTTGCTCGTTTTCTAATTCTTTGTCTACTATTTGTTGGGTTGCTGCTAATTCTTGTAGCTTTATTGTATTTGTTTCTTGCCCTTGAGCTGCTGGTTCTTCATTTTCTGTTATGTTTTCTTTCACCCAAGATTCATCACCTTCACTCTCTATCAATTGGCTCTCCACGCTCTAGCACCTCTTCCATTGATCAAAATCATACCCCGGTTGGAATCTTTTGACCAGTACTCTTCATAAACGTCCACCAAGCATGCGTTGTGTCAACTGCCTCCGGTAGCTTTTTTCCTGGTGTGTTTGAGTGGCTTCAAAATACAGCTCTACCTGGATAACTTTGCTAATAAGCCTTCCTCTCTAACAAATGTTGGAATCATCTTCAACATTTGATACCCATGGCTCCAAGATTGGAGCTACGGTGATACCAATAATAAGACTACTCCAGAATCTAAAGAAAAAAGTATTTTCTGTTGATGAACTCTAAATGCCAAATGCTATGTCGCTATGTTGGCAGCCTTAGGCTAGAGTTAGAAGATATAAAATGAATGATTTCCCATGAAATTCAAAAGACTATGATTCTGCCCATTATCAAACTATATTCCTCTATTAAATGATAAGATGATTTATCTATTGTTCTATCCTCTTTATTTGTAGGCAATACGCTTCTACTATATCTGCCTGCCCAACAGTTATGGTATCTATCAAATTGATACGTCATTCTAGTAAATACGAAACTAAAGGTGTTGCATTTTCTCTATAAGATAAATTAATTAATAGGTGCTTAAACTATATTTGGTAACTTCTAATTAAATAGTAATTGCTATATATATATATATATATATATATATATATATATATATATATATAAAAGAATCCCTGGAATTAGTTTATGACGACATCAAACCATTGGAAAAAGACAATTTGTATAAATTTTAGAAATCTTGGAGACTTAGGACTTGATTTAATTTTTTTTTAGTTTTTAATAATTATTTTAGAGATCAATTTTAAAATATATTTTTAAAAATAAGTTGAAAAAAAATTTAATAATTATATTTTTAAAAATGATTTCAAACAAAAAATAATAACAGGTGATCTTAAAAATTTGTAACAAAAATTAAAAAATGATTCTAGATAATTTTTTGATGATGAAAATAAGTAATTTAATATAATTATTAATAAAAACATTAATATCTATTTACTAAAAATAAAAATAGAAAATACTTTTTGTTGGTTTTGGCTTTTTAGCTATTAAAAATATAAAAAAAAACTTTTAAAACCTCTTTTAGCAAAATAGTTATCAAACAAGTTGCTTATTTTTTGACAACTAAAATTTAAAACTGTTTAAAAATAATAAACAAACAAACCTTTAATAAAAAAATTACAGGATGAAGGATCCAATTATAAATTTTTTAATATGGAGACCTAATTAAAAATTCCCAAAGAACCACTGATTAATTTATCTCCTAAATAAAAATCTTTCATATCTATTTTAAATAGATGGAATAATAATGAATCGAAATTACTATTTTTTATATATATTTCTGTTTGAATTTAACATTTTGTACGTATTGTATGTATTTTTTTTTAGTGTAGACCCATATATCTAAACGTGGTATATACGTGAAAGCAGGCTTGAAGCAGCGTCCAATGCAATCAATCTTGTTCCAAAATCTGTTTCAGGATGGAGGGCGCGGTAAAATAATTTCAATCAAACTTCCGGTAGGTTCTGTGTCTACGCATATAACAAGGGGGTCAGAAAGGGGCAGAAGCATCTATGTTCTGGGAAGTTCGTTGGATATTTTTGTCTAGAACTCTGGAGTGAGTGCTCCTAATTGGTACAACGACTGACACCCAGAATTACAGTTCTGAGTTAACCATGGTAGCTAACTGGTGATTTATCTAATGACACAGATTGCTTAGGCAATTGGTGTGGTCGTATTTGTGATTGATTCACTACCCATGTTTGATCAAACAAACTGTTGTGTACACCTCTACTGTGCAGTCATTGTTCTCAGCTGATTCTATTTTCATTTAATCTGCTTGATTCAATTAATTGACTTGAAGTATTGATCCCGTATAAATACTTTCCTACACGTTATAATTCTCGATCCACCGTGGTTTTCCCGTGTCAAGCAATAACTACAGAAATCAATGCATTGATCCAGCTGTCAAAAATCATCTTAAAGAATACAAGTTATAGTTTTCTAAAATCCACGTTATAGCTTCTGTATCGTTGTTATTTAGTTCATCCAATTTGATAAATAGTTGTCCTGATTCTTCTATCTAATAGTAACAACATAAAATTCCAATGGAAGAGCCATATTTTTCCGAGCCAGTTTGCAGAAGTAACAATGAGGGCTAGTCATACATAATTCAGTATCACTCTCACCACTTAAGTTCTTTCTCCAACATCTTGAAGAACTAATCGAGCAGCGTTACGTCCAGGTGCTCCCATAACCCCACCACCAGGATGTGCTCCACTTCCGCACAAGTATAACCCTTGAAGCGGAGTCTTGTAGTTTGACCTAAGTCCAAAATCAACGAAAACATTCACGTAACTATCATGTAGTTGGAACAGCATGGTTATGATCAGTTATACGTCAAAAAATAGAACGAGATTATATTCCAAACCAGCTCAATTTAGCTTACCACCCCTTTGCAGGTCGCATGAGGAAAAGGGAATCCAACCCCATTGCCCCATGGAATATATTCCCTCCTGCCCAAAAGAACAGTTCAAAATGTTAACTGTCACAATGTACAAATGCTTTCTAGTAGAACATCGAAGGATTGGGAAGCTTTTTTTCATTTATTCTTTTCTCTTGGGTATTTCTTGTGCCCAAAAAAGGTTTTTGGCTTGCACTTAAAAAGAGATCAACTGCATATGTTTTTGTTTGGGGGAATATGGCAAAGTTACCTGTCAAACCGATTTCCCGTTCAAGATCTGGTGGAGTCAACATGTCATAACCAATGATTGATGCGCTGAAGCCAGGAGCATATTCATCAATCAACGTGAAGCATTTTTGTGCAAACGATTCCTGAATAGGTTCAACATAAAATATTTAACAAGTAATTTTTGTATCAAGCGGCTGCCTGCATAACAAGTTCATGGCCAAGGTGGAACAAAACAGATCCATGCACCGATATGGATAACAGCATAAGGAAAAAACTAACTCTGTAGTCATTATCTTTCCAGTCACCATTCAATGGTTTGTAGGGTGTATACTGAACAAACAGGTTGATCACATGCTTACCTATGAATGAGGAAAGCACATTTCATGAGCTAGATGTTATCAACATATATGAAAGATTATAAAGGCATCAATTAAATATAAATTAACTAGTCAAAGAAATTCAATTGGATGTTAAAGGAAAAACAAAGTCACTTCACAGCCAAAAAATCATCATAATGTGGCAAATGCATTACAGCAAAGTAATAAAACTGCCTCCAGTAAAGTGACAATTTAGGACATCGTTAAACCTATAGTTTCAAGTACCAGGTGGAGAAATAGTTCTATCAAGTATGGAGGGAATTGTCATCTCAATAACTGGTCTTCTCGATGGTACTCCATTTGCTGCATCTAGACAAGCAGAGTGAATCTCCTCCATGCTTTAACATAAATTAACAGGGGCAAAGAAAACTGTCAATGTTCTAAGAAGAAATAAGTTGCAACTGTCCATATTGAATAATGTTAAAGCAAGATATTGATTAGACAACATGACCTGAATCCACAATAGAAGAAATAAGATTCAATTTTAACATACCTTTCTGAACCTATATGAATAGTGCCGACATGCTGTGGCCCAGCATGGGGATGATCTAACTTGCAACAATGAAATTCGGGCAATTTATCAACTGCTACATTTATTTTTGTAGTAGCCTGTTTCAGTAGATATTTCCAATTAAAGAATGGCAATTAATGAAGAAAAATTACAGATAAAACTTTCCCTAGTCCTGAGTACCAATGATTACTGGGAAAAGAAAATAAAAACTTATAACACCAAATTAAAATCTGTCCTTGCCAGGTCTACATGATCGTTGCAGACTGTTAAATGTCAATGGCTAGCATATAAATTAATCATACTTGATGAAAGAGGTAGAGAATTTTCTCACTGGTTCATGTTATTTATATAACTATACCAATTTTGTTCCCTTTTTTCTTTTTTTGCCATAATTACCCCAGGTTTGTCATCTGATGAATATTTGAAGTTTCTCCAGGAAATGTGATTTTTCCACTCATGAATTGCAGGCATTCTTCATTACAAATCAAATATAAACTGTACATATATTTTAATATTACCTGTTATTCTAATTCAGTAACACACAAGATTGAGGGTATTAAAAATGAATATAAACTGAGAAAAAATAGTTAACTTACAGAACTGTAGTCAGAGTGCTTAATGGCACGAACAAAATCATCAGGGAGGACATCGTTGGGCACTAATTCCTGATTCATATCAGCAAAGTCTATAAATTAATGTCAAGTATAGGTACAGAAGAAGTTATTATTTGTAGCTAGTTTGAGAACTTACCATGAATGTTTTATATGGTGTTGCATTAGACAAAACAATTGATGAATGCACTTCAGTACCATCAGCCAGAGTAACCTATACGTAAGCCATATCTAGAAATTTTAATTGCTAAGATCCACCATTAAAAATCCACTTGATAGAGCAAATTCACGAGTCACGAACAACACTAACCCCACAGACAGTGCTAGAATTTTCAATCAACAACCGAGACACCTGTAAGAATACAGAATATCACAGCTGGTTAGAGCCCAGGAGAAATAAGATAGAAAAGGGAGAGGAAAGGGGCAGAAAATTATCTTTTTTCCCTGTGAAAAAAATATTATCTTTCTATGAAATCGCAAGTTGATGTTTTCAATTTGGATCAGAAGAAATGTAATTGGTGAATAAGGTCCTTACAACAATCAGCACGTAGATTCAAAAAAGAAAAGGTAGAGAGAAAAAGAATGTACTTGCTTCCATTAAGAAATCTGAAATTCGAAAATTTAATTGTAGCTAATGTTGACAACTACAAGGTTAAGACCAAGCCAACACCAGCCATCATCCCTTGGGAGGTAAAAACTGATTGGATACCAAGTTTGCCTACATTGGAAGATTTTGATGGTAAAAAAGAGGGAAGTTAGGAAAAAAAGAGCGAACTAGCTTTTACAAGAAACTGCTCAGGTGGACCAATACTGTAATAGACTAATTTTTTGTACCTGATAAAATATTAATAATTTTAAAAATTAAATAAAATAGGAATAAGATATAGATAAAAAATTAAATAAAGTGTAAGTTTTTATTTCGCTAAAATCAAGGATATAAGAAAAATTACAGACAAACTTGACTAATAGAAAATTTAAGGAATGGTGTAAAATTAGTTGAAAGCAAATGATAACAGGGATCATTAAATAATTAGATTAGAATATTAATGTAAAATAAGTTTAATAGTTATTTGCGAGCAAATATTCTCTTTGAACACAAATCTAAATCTAATATATATATATATATATATATATATATATATATATATATATATATATATATATATATATCATGGATTCAAAATAAAAGCAAATCATAACTGATTTCACTATCTTTAATAACATCATCCCCAAAGTACTCTTTAGATTGAGATTCTATTTTTCTAAATTCCAATAATCATTTCTCTTTCTTGGTATCAAGGTCCCATATAAGAGAGTTTAGGAAAAAAATTATTTTTAAAATGTGATGAATAAATTAATAATGACAATTATCTTTCTTAATTAACTAATTTTTGCTTAATTAATGCATGAATTAGTTAGTTTTCTTCTCATTTATTCTATGGAGGACTACTCATTATCATCCTTTCCCTCCATATTCTTCTGATCGTTGTCAGAGTAAAGTTCTTCTTCATGGCTTCAACTAATTGGACCTTGACTAAATTATATTATTTCCTGGTTGTATTTAAAGATCCAATGGAATTGTTATGGATGAAGGCAATTTGAAATAATAGAGATTCTTGATGGCATACCTCAGCACTGGTTACAATATGCGCTCCAGCTTCAGTAGCAGCATTACCAATAGCCTTGGATATTGAGCCCATTCCACCTTCAACATATCTACATGAAATAAATAGCACGTATTCACTCTCTAGTGTGAACAGTACAAAGCTATAGAGTAAAGGTAGCTAATTAATAGTATATGTTTCAACTATAATAGAGAAATAATTATTCAGCAATGTTACTTAAGAATATCATTTCTAGATAAATTTGGTAGTGACATTTTTCTTTTGATAAATTTGTCTAGTCATGTTTATTTGTGCCTGTTTTTCTGTGTATAATACATGTATGAAAGAAAAATTTAAACTCAATCAAAGCTCGAAGGATTATGTCCAACATCGAAGAACATAAACTCTATCTTTGGGCGAAAGGCAGTAATGTATAATACTTGAAATATGAAAGTACTTGGTAATCTATCATGTTTAAGTATGAAATGGAGAAAAATATTGTCTATGGACTCCTTAGTCTATTATTAGATATGATTAGATATTAGTTGATATTATTTGATATTGTTAGATATTGTTAATCACAATATCAAATAATATCTTTTATTTACCCTATTTGTATTCTGTTACTCTTTTGAGGAGTACCTTTCTTTATTATAAATACACTGCCCTATGTGTGGTAAATACACAAGGGAAATTAACCCTATACAGTTTTTCCCTATATTCAACATGGTATCAAGAGCTTAAGGTCTCTTGGGATTTTTTTCGGCTCTGCCACTGAACCTGCAGCTGTCGCCGCCTCCGTCCGCCGCCGCCACCGTCGCCGGAGTAGCAGTTCAGACCGCCGAGCACAGGGTTTTGCTCGCCTCCTCCGTGCGACCTCCACCGTGGAAGTTTCGCGGTCATCGGAGCAGCCACGCTCCCTCACGCGCCTCCCGAAGCCGCGCCACCTTCTCCCGTTCCGCCGCGCGTGGCGGCGCGTCTCGCCGCTATTCAGGCCGCCACTCTTTGCGCCGGCGTTGCCTCCTTCTCCTCTCTCTGGATCTGTCCTCGCTGCTCCAATCGAACCTCTTTGGTGTTTTAGGGTTTTTCTCTCTCTTCCTCCATGGCATCTTCCGCTGCCACTTCCAATTCTGAAGTTACCTCTGTCAGCTCCGGTGGGTCTGAGCAATCTGTTTTTAATGATTCATCTGCCTTGACCTCTCACCGTGATGATCGTAATCGCTCTCACAAGCCAGGCAAAGGGCGTGTCAAGTGTAACCATTGTGGCAAACTAGGCCACAAAATTGACAAATGTTATGCTTTACATGGTTATCCTCGCCAATCTGCTGCAGTTGCTCAGACTGATTCTTCCGCACAATCCTCTGCTGTGGATCCTCCTTCGTCTGTACCTTCAGACAAATCTGCTATCTTCAATGATTTTTTCAATGGTATGAGGATCGAAAGCCCTCCAGTTCCACTACTTCGTTGCCCACACAGGTACATCTTTTGCTTGGTCCGACTCACTCTTCTTCTATTGGCTCTTGGGTTCTTGACTCAGGCGCCACCGATCACATCACTGGTAACAAATCCTTATTTTCCTCTTTCACTTCTTCTCATAATTTACCCTCTGTTACAATGGCTAATGGATCTACAACTTTAGCTCATGGTGTTGGAACAGTTACTCTTTTTCCCTCGTTGTCCATTGATAATGTTTTGTATGTACCCGGGTCCCCCTTTAACTTATTATCCATTAGCCGTCTAACTCGATCTCTTGATTGTGTTATCTCTTTTACCAAAACTTTTGTTTCCTTACGGGACCGGAGCTCGCAAAAAGTGATTGGCACCGGATGTGAGTCACATAGACTTTATTATCTTCAACCTTCTCCACATGTTGGCACAGTTATGGAGTCTCCTTCTCTCCTTCATGCTCAGCTTGGTCACCCCAGTCTGCGCAAATTACAGCAACTTGTTCCCAACTTATCCCAGTTGTCCAGTTTGGTGTGTGAGTCCTGTCAATTAGGCAAACATAGTCGTACTTCCTTTTCTCGTAGTGTTTCCCTGCGTGCTTCATCCCCCTTTGCCTTAGTTCACTCTGACATTTGGGGACCCAGTCGTGTTAAGTCTAATTTAGGTTTTCAATATTTTGTTACTTTCATTGATGATTTCTCTCGTTGTACTTGGTTATTTTTAATGAAAAATCGTTCTGAGGTGTTTTCTATATTCCAAAACTTTTATCATGAAATTAAAAATCAATTTGGTGTCTCTATTCAAACTTTTCGAAGTGATAATGGCCGTGAATATCTTTCAAACTCGTTTAAACAATTTATGGCTTCTCATGGCATTCTTCATCAAACTTCCTGTGCTTATACCCCTCAACAAAATGGGGTGGTCGAGCGCAAGAATAGACACCTTATTGAAACAACCCGTACTCTTTTAATTCATGGTGCGGTTCCTCGACATTTTTGGGGTGATGCTTGTTCTTACTGTCTGTTATCTTATTAATCGTATGCCCTCTTCGGTTTTAGATAACAAAATTCCCCATTCTATTTTATTTCCTCATGACACTCTCCATCCTTTACCTCTGAAGGTTTTTGGGTCTACCTGTTTTGTCCACAATTTTGATCCTGGTCATGATAAGTTATCTCCTCGATCATACAAATGTGTTTTCTTAGGATTTACTCGATCCCAAAAAGGATACAAGTGTTTTTCTCCTTCTCTTAATCGTTATTTTGTGTCTGCCGATGTCACCTTCAATGAGTTTTCCTTTTACTTTAAGGACCCTTCCCTACCTGCTGAGTCTCCATCTGCTACAGTTCCCATTCCCTGTTCTCATTGATCCTTATGTTGAGGACCATCCACCATTAGCCCCTCCTCCTCCACCACCCCTTCGGGTTTATAGTCGCAGACCTCACCCACAACAGACGCCACATGACTCACTCCCGGTGCCAAATACTCTGCCTCCTCCGGTTCAGTCCACGTAGTCCGACCTTCCTATTGCCCTTTGTAAAGGTACGCGTTCTACTCGTAATCCTTCTCCACATTATACTGCTATTAGTTATCATCGAATTTCTTCACCATTTTATACCTGTCTCTCGTCTATTTCTTCGTGTCTATTCCTAAATCTGTCTCGAAGCCTTAGCCCACCCTGGTTGGCGTCAGGCCATGCTAGATGAACTCGGTGCTCTTCGAGACTAGTGGAACCTGGACGCTTGTCCCATTACCATCTGGAAAATCTGTTGTTGGTTGCGGGTGGGTCTTCGCTATCAAGGTTGGTCCTGATGGTACTATTGATCGCCTCAAAGCTCGCCTTGTAGCCAAAGGCTATACCCAAATTTTTGGGTTGGATTATGGTGATACTTTCTCTCCGAGTGGCAAAGATGGCTTCGTTCGTTTATTCATTGCCATGGCCGCTATTCAACAATGGCCTCTTTATCAACTGGATGTCAAAAATGCTTTCTTGAATGGCGATTTGCAAGAAGAGATTTATATGGAGCAACCTCCGGATTTGTTGCTCGGGGGAGTCTTCCGGATTGGTATGTCGTCTTCGCAAATCTTTATATGGCCTAAAACAGTCTCCTAGGGCCTGGTTTGGCAAATTTAGCAAGCATTGTTCAACAATTTGGCATGACTAGAAGTGAGGCGAGACCACTCGAGTCTTTTACCGTCACTCGAATGCTTGGATGTATCTATTTGATAGTGTATGTCGATGACATTGTTCTTACAGGTAGTGACCATCATGGCATCTCTCGGATGAAACAACACCTTTGCCACCATTTTCAAACCAAAGATCTTGGCAAACTCGGATATTTCTTGGGTATTGAGGTAGCACAATCTACCGATGGCATTGTTATATCTCAAAGAAAGTATGCATTGGATATTTTGGAGGAAACTGGGTTGATGAATTCAAAGCCTGTTGACACACCCATGGATCCTAATACCAAACTCTTGCCAAATCGGGGGAGCCAATGTCGGATCCTGAACAAGTATAGAAGATTAGTTGGAAAATTAAATTATCTTACAGTTACTCGCCACGACATTTCCTTTGCGATCGGTGTGGTGAGTCAATTCCTCAATTCTCCTTGTCAAGATCATTGGAATGCGGTCATCCGTATATTGAAGTACATCAAAAAGTCTCCTGGAAAAGGTTTGGTGTATGACTCCCATAATCATACAAGAGTTGTCCGCTATTCGGATGCTCGATTGGGTAGGATCTCGCTCCGATAGAAGATCTACATCCGGGTATTGTGTTTCCATTGGTGGTAACTTGATCTCATGGAAAAGTAAGAAACAAAGTGTTGTGGCAAGATCCAGTGCAGAAGCGAGTATAGAGCTATGGCCTCAGCTACCTGTGAACTTATTTGGCTCAAGCAATTGCTTAAAGAGCTACAATTTGGAGATGTCACTCAAATGACACTAGTGTGTGACAATCAGGCTGCTCTCCATATAAGCTCTAATCCTGTCTTTCATGAGAGGACTAAACACATTGAGATTGACTGCCATTTTATTCGAGAAAAGATTATGTCTGGAGACATCAAGACTGAGTTCGTTAACTCATGTGATCAATTAGCAGATATTTTTACTAAGTCTTTACGGGAACCTAGGATGGATTATCTTTGTACCAAGCTAGGCACATACGATTTGTATGCTCCAGCTTGAGGGGGAGTATTAGATATGATTAGATATTAGTTGATATTATTTGATATTGTTGAGATATTGTTAGATATTGTTAATCACAATATCAAATAATATCTTTTATTTACCCTATTTGTATTCTGTTACTCTTTTGAGGAGTACCTTTCTTTATTATAAATACACTGCCCTATGTGTGGTAAATACACAAGGGAAATTAACCCTATACAGTTTTTCCCTATATTCAACATCTATAAATGCTTTGGTTAAGATGCACAAAAGTACTAGAAAACTTAATTTCAACTCATTCCAAAATATGAAAAATATTTTTGTCAAACAACAGTTTTTCAATCTGATTAAGCACTATAAAGATATCAAGCTAGCAAGAGAAATACATACGACCAAATTCCACGATCCCCGTCAGTTTCTCCCATCACATGATGTAGCAGAACATAGCCACTTCCTGGGGTGTGGACACTGGCCTGCATTGCAGATTTAAAAAATACTATGTATGCTGTGATAGATGAAACATTGGCTATGCTAATTTTTATCAGAGAAAACTCCGTAGAATAGTTGTACTGAAACTGTTGGTCTCTATCTCTTAAAGAAGGATTAAGAACATTATCTTGAAAATGTTTTCTATTATGATGCCTTTTTTTAGAACATAATGCTGCAATATTTACAGATAAATGCTCTTACTGTACTGCCAATGACAGCATCGGTTGCCAGGGTTGCCTTCAGAACATCTGCCTGCAGAAATAATGTCAGACAAGACATTACACCATTAAGAGAAAGAACACCTTATTACAAGAGTTATTAAACAATGTATTTGATTTTGAGAGATAATTGGGTCTAAATCAATCAACCTCAAACTATCTCATGGGGAAGGTTGCTCATGTCAACCCCCCTACACCCAAGGCTAGACATTAACAAATAGCCCGACGTTATAATTAACATAGACTCTAATACCTAATTAGAATTAAGAACGAACTAAGCCTAACTAACTTAGACATCAAAAGTTAGCCCAAGGATGAAGGATTTTCCCCCAAGTCATTTTAAGGAGTGTGTTGCTCATATATTGAGCTGGCATGGGATATTAACACAGAGAACCAACCAAATAGATATCATCAAATCAGTACATTGAGAAAGGTATGCTTGGGACAACATAAAGTTACCTCAAACCAGTTATTCAAAACTTTAGAAGCTGGGGACAACAGAAGGTCCATAAAGTCCCTGCCAAATAAATAAACAGATTCACAATTTCAAATTAGTTGCTTTCATGCACTCATTACAGTTTTGCTATTCAACCCCAATTCATTGGTCATAAAAACAAATTCGTGTTGGATAAACAAACACACTCACACCATATCCTTTTGCCCCATGGAAGACACATGCCGCAGACAACTAGCCCAAAATACTGAGTTCTGTATTTTGTTCTTCAACTTTTCATTAATAGACGATTTATGCTGCACAGATTCAGGTGGAGGCGAATCCAGCACTAGATCCATGAACTTACAGAAGTTCTCAAGCTGACTCTCATATCTAAAAGGTTAAGACAAAGAATTAAGAAAAATAAAAGGAAAAGCAGGATTTCTTTATTAAATCATGAACATACAGTCAATGCGGGTTGAATATAAGGTGATCAAATATGTTAGGCCCAATGCACCAGATGAACAGCAGAGCCCAAATACTTGCCAAGAGGTTGTTCACAAAGGAGAGAGGCCACAAAGAATTAGGAACAAACCTTCCTACCTCAGAGACTACGTGACCAAGTAAAGACGTGACAGCTATAGGAGGATTTGGTTAACATTTCTTTTTACTAAACAAATAACATTTTGAACATTTCTGATCATCTATACAAAGCAAACCTTTAAAGAGTGATTTCCACTCTGCTGCATTATTCCACTCTCTCTGTGGCAAAATAACTTTAACTCTTATGGGCAACCTATATACAATTTCTTACATGCTGTTAGTGTTGTTTTAAAATCAAAATTGGAGTTTCACTCCGACAACCGATGTTAACTCGAATTACTAAGTCAACTTCAGTTCTGATTGACTTTGGTTTTGTTCCAAAATCGGAATTGAATTTCACATCGATAACCTATGTCAACAGGCCTTACCAAGGTCAAAATTTAATTATGACATTACCAAAACTACCTAAGAAACTGCATCTTATACGCCGTTTCCATTTTAATTGATATTTTTGCTACAAAAGCAAGCAATGGTGTTATTCATTTTAACGGCGGATTCCAAATCCAAAGAGCCATTTGATTCCGATGCAATATGGGAAGAAAGCAGCGACCTTGGATAGGCCTTAGCATCTGCAACGGAGAATTTGGATATCTCAGAGTGGTTGAGATGCCTGTCGGGCCCTAAGAGAAGGTAGCGTCCGTCGAGGCAGGGCGTGAAAGACGACGGGTTGCGCTTCAGAAGCTTCAAGCCGTGCTTTCCCAACTCCAGCTCCTTTATAACGGACGGTCGGAGAAGGCTTTGGAGGTAACTGCACCTCGAAAACTTGAACCCCGGAACAAGCTCCTCCGTCACGGCGGCGCCTCCGATCACATGGCGGCGCTCCAGGACCGCTACCGACAGGCCTCCACGAGCCAGGTATGCCGCTGCTGTGAGGCCGTTGTGGCCGCCGCCGATTATCAGCGCGTCCCATTTCTTGCCTTTGAGAGTAGCCGCGGCGGTGCTGCTGAAGCTCCTCCGCCACATTGTGATAGTGTTTGAATTTAGTGTTATGATAGTGCAATAGTTATTCTTCAACGTTTGTTTGTTTTTTTTTTTTTTAAGAAAAACAAATTATTTAAAATAAATGTATTTCCCAATGACATAAAATAGGTAAAATTAAATTATTAATTTTACTGTATAGACGTTTCAATTTATATAAAAGTATATAATATTTATTTTTAAATATATTTTTCTGTATCATATTAAAATATGATTTAATTTATAAGAATTAAATTATATTTAACAATAATAAGTAAGGAATTATTTAAAATAAAGAACAAATATAATTTTTTTAATTAATTTAATGTATTTATTTTTTAATATTTATAGAATACTAAAAAATATACACCTTCAAATAACTCAAAAGATCAACAAATAAAAAAATCTACATGAAAAAACAACAAGACTATGTAACATTAGGAAATATGAAGAAAAAAAATTAAGCATTACACTGTAACTCTGGTAATGAATAGGCTGTGTTTACTTTTTAGAAGAAAAAAAAAGTGCTTTTAAAGAATAATTGAGACTTTCAGTAATTTTAATGAAGAAACTTGTTGAAAGTTATTTTTCTTATGGATTCTATTGTAACTATATCTTTTGAAAATTAACAGTATAGAAAATTCACACAAAAAATATCAATAAATGAATTAAATAATTTTACTTAAATAACATTATTCTTGATATAATTTATTTGAAGGAGAAGTATGAATATAAAATTAATGTTTTCTTAAAACTGAAAACAATTGAATTAAAATATAAATAATAAAAAATAAAACTGCAAACCATTGTTCAACGGAAAAAGTAATTTTTATAATTTTTTTAGGAATAATTTTAAAACATTTACTAAATAGATGAAAATTACTTCACATTTTTAATATACATTCCATTTTTTTCATAAACTTATTGAGATTTTTGTTCTGAGACTCTAATCAAATTTTGAACGGTTTTACATCTTGAGTTTTTTTAACATTTGTTTTGTCTTAAAATAAGTAATATAATGGTGAGATTTGTACTCAAACAACTGTGATCAGAGTAGGGTATTTGAGTTTATCTATAACTCAAAAACTTGTAAAAATGCATACTTTCAAGTTCAGAATTTTGTTTGGATGTCTATTTTTAGTTCTGTCGGGTGAACCATGTTACTTCCAAGTTAATTATATACAAATTTTGGTTTTAAATTTTATATTAAAATATTTAATCTATGTTCCTTGTAAAATAAACTAGGACATCAATTTCTTCTTGTGACGAGAGTAATATAAAAAAATATAAATTTATTTTAAAATAATAAATTAATTAATTGAAACAAAATATTCATATATAAATTACTCTTTTTATAATATTTTATTTTACATTTTAATAAAAAATAAAAAACGTGAAACTTTTTTGTTATTGTTTTCTTTATTATTGAACAAGAAAATATTATTTCCTCGAAATGATACTTTTGTAAACTACACATGGATAAAAAAATCTATTAAAATAATTGGTTTCTAATGCCTTCTTGTGTGAACAAAACGGGAGCGTTTTGATAACCCTTGTCCTTTACTTTTATTTTATTTATTTATCTTAGTTTTATTTTGTAGCGTCCAGTTCTTTCGGAAGCATTTGTGGATTCTGGTGCAAGTGCAGGTAAGAGCTTCGAAATCACGAGTTTGTACAAAAATGCCTACAAAAAATCCACCCTTCAAGGTTTGACCCATTTCCTCTTTACACATTCCAATTCCAAATGATGTATGTACCTGCCCAACTCTGCACCATAAACCCCATAAATTTTTTTCTCATTTCCCCAATACCACATATTTGTTGTTAATCATAAATAAATTAGTAACTGAATAATCTATATCATGTCTTCCAACTCCTTAATGATGTATTATTACATTCTTATTACAATTTCACATTGCAATATCCTTTTATCTAATTAACAATTGCCCTGCCTTGATGAAGTAATCTGTTTATCTTTCAATAGATAATTCTGGGCTCTTCTTCCAAGGCTCGTAGAGATATTCTTACTGAGATGGGATACGAGTTCACAATAATGGTATTGTTGCAATGCAATTGCTTCAATTTTTTAACCATAATTCACTAGTGTGAAGGAAGATTGAAAGAGTTTGGCTTTGTTTGCAATTTAGACTGCAGACATTGATGAGAAAGGTATTAGGAGGGAAGAGCCAGAAGATTTGGTAATGGCATTAGCTGAGGCAAAGGTATGAATTTTTCGGCTTCTTCTTATTATTAATATTATTATTTACAGATCTTACAATTACTTCCTCTTGCGGTGCTGTGGGATAAGAATTACACCCCAAGAATAGTTCTGAGTTTGTGCTGGTTGTTCTAGAGTTAATGATTCCATCCAAATTTTCAGTTCTTTTCTGACTTTGTGAAATCCTTGTACTTTCTGAAGCAATTAAACTGATTTCTCTTCTTGATAAATTAGTCTTCATCAGAGTCTCTATCTCTATAGTAATGTAGTGCTAGTTTATTAGGCAGTTATTGGTAAGCCATTGGCTGATGAATCATTATGCATTATATTAGATCCGTGATACTTAAAGATTGAAGAATATTGGTATTTTGTGTAAATGCTCAGAGTTCACTTGATTGAAGAGAAAAAATGAGAAGGTGGAAAATGGGTGAGGATTGGAGATGGGGTGGGATGAAGTGATTTTGATTTTGTCTTGCAGTTTTTTGCTAGCGGGTAGAAAATCTATTTCAGACCATTTCATGCCGCACGAGTGGCTGAAATTTTTGGGGTGAAAATGTAGATGAGTTGCACTCCAGTATCATCCTTTACTTCTTCTGTAACAAGTTCATTCTGAGTTTTAATCTCCTTAAACAAAGAACACCATCAAGCATGAGAGCCGGTTGAAATACAAGATTAGATCTTTGCTTAATTTCTCCTAATATTTATTTTTTAGAAGAATGCAAAACTTATTTAAGATCTTTGTGTCCGATTATGGTGACTGAATATACAGAAGGATTTCAGGTTGTCATGTGTCCATCCAGAAACTGCTTCTAAAAACAGTAATAAATAAAATAACGGAAAATATAGAGCAATTTTAAAACCTCCTCATCTATTGATTGTTCCAAGGTACATTTCTGACTTGATATTCTAATTAGGCTGATGCTATTGTCCAAAGGCTCCCTCCTGGAAGTCGATTGGAGGAAGATGATTCTACAACACTGTTAATTACTGCGGACACGGTATTCTATATTAACTATTGTTTGTTTCCTTTTGTGTGGATAATATCTGTGCTACAAACTTATCCTTACTACTGATTTTCTTTTTGTTAGAAATAAGAATGTTGTAAAACTGTTTGTATGTTATTGCAAATGTTTTGCAGGTGGTGGTGTATCGAGGAATAATCAGGGAAAAACCAACTAGTGAAAAAGAAGCACGAGAATTCATCAAAGGTTTGCATAATGGACTTTTGTTCCCTGCTTTTGTCGTTGCATTAATTGACAGATATAACAGCCACATTCACAAAATCGAATATTTACAGGATATTCTGGTAGTCATGCAGCAGTGGTAGGATCTGTTGTAGTAACCAACCTTGCAACTGGAAAACGTTGTGGGGGTTGGGACAGTGCAGAGGTACGATATTCCGCTGCTTGAGCTTATATGTTATCTCTTTTCTTCTGTCAATAAAAATCATTGATTCCTAGATTCTTGTGGCATATGTATCAGATGTTGGAAATGCTTTTTTGAGGTTACTGGTTTGTTGCTCAGAAAAAGAATTAAAAGAAAGTTCACTAGCGAATTTCTTTCTTCATATGAATAAGTGTTATCATCTTTTTGTACGTCCCCTTACCGCTTACCCCTTACCCCATTTGGCTCAAGTCTTTCTATAGCTGCCAACCAGGCTGCATTGTTTTCATTGACACATTTTATTGATTAATGTTTCACTTGGCTAATATTTGTGACTATTATGACAGGTTTATTTCCTTGAAATTCCAGATGAGGTCATTGATAGTCTGGTAAACATTTTAGAAGTACACTTTTCACCCTTGCACTGAATTAAGTATGAAGGTGAAAAGAGTACTTTAACTAGTTTCTCAAAACATATGATCTTTGAAACTTTCTTACAGGAAATTCTAGTCAACCTGAATACTATGAGTTTTCTTATTTGATGGGAGCTTCTCAGATTGACGAGGGAATTACATTCAACGTTGCTGGAGGTCTGATGCTGGAACATCCATTGACATTACCCTTTGTGGATGCAGTAGTAAGTTATCTTACTTTTTCAACGACACACTCACTCTAAGAAGGAGCATATGCATGCACATTAAAACAAGATTCGTATGGAACTGGTAGCTTCAAATCCACCCATGATAAGCACTACTTTGAATACCTCTTTTCTTGACCCTATTTATCGAGACCTTGTAATCTTTTATCGCCATTATGTTGGGAGTTCATTTATATATACAAGCAAGTATTTGCATCTGTAGTCATCACTCATTTTCTCCACATCTATGCCAATGGAGTTAATTTTCTAGATGAGCGTCATTTTAAACGTTAACATTCGTCAAATGTAAATGTGGTCTCGTCGCTCTTTCTTTTTTTTTCTTTAACAAAAATAAGCTGTGATGCTTGCGGCAGGTTGGCTCAACTGATACAGTGATGGGACTTTCCAAAGCTCTTACAGAGAAACTCTTATTGGAAGCTCTATAGCTGTCGCAACAATTCTACAAATATATTCCAAGAGATACCATGTGCTTTGCTGACGGTCAAAATTAATGCAATTATAAAAAAATTGTTTGACCAATTCTTACACCCACTGATTATTTTGTCACGAGCTGAAAAAGTTTATTATTTAACTTCAATGCTTAGTTTCCCAGTCTTGCATGACATTATTGATTTCATCAAGAATCCACCCTTTTGAATTACAAATTTATCAGACGAATGAATGGATTAGAGTTGATTCCTTTGAATTGCATTTTTCAGTCCAAGGCTGGATATCAACAGCATAGTTTAGAAATTTAAAAGATTCTTTTGAGATTTCACCTTCAGAATTTAGTAAAAAAAATCTTGCTGCAGGCCCCTTATCAAACAGACAGAATTTTGTGGCCAAAGATGCTCATTTCGGTGCTTAGATAGATCAGTAATTCCTTCATGATGGGATCCATTTGAGGCACAGTTTTGCTCCAACCAAAGTTGAAGGAGAATTGCATTTGAGTATTACCCATTGGTGTAATACTCCTGCTGACGGGAGAATTACATTTCTACTCCCCAAGTTAATTTTCACAAAGAGACCTTATAATGAACTAGTTCACTTATATGGTTGAAAGTAAAGGAAAAAAATATCACAGACAAATTGTACAGATTTATATAGTGCAAATTATTGTGATTAATTGTAATTATTTGAGATTCTGATTGTTTTTGAAATATTCTTTTCTTATTTTTTTTATAATAAATTAAAAGAATTTGTAGAAGATTGGATTATTTTAATTTAAAAACTATACGATATATATATATATATATATATATATATATATATATATATATATATATATATATATATATATATATTGAAGTTTTTAGTATGGATCATCTCATTGATGCAGTGGACATTGCCTTGCAAAGATAGAATGTTAGGTTTACGAAATCGTCTTTCTTTGAATAATTTCATGAATAATGAATGTAATGACATAGCAATCATTAGTCAAGCATGTAGATTCTAGAGACGCAACGACTTGGACCAACCAATCAAATCCCTGAAGCAGACCCTCACCAATGTATGCACTACAGCCAACTATCCCCCAGTGCCGAGATTTATTCATGGCTTCCAAAAAAGAAGTTATGAAAAAAAGTATTAAAACTTCTAAGAAATAATTATATATTAAAGTAGGATACCTAGATTGACCCCCTGTTACATAGGAATCAGGATTTTCAGGATTCAACCTACGCTAGTTATTTATTTAATTTTCTGAAACTTATCTCCTATTGTTCCTGAAAATATGTATAATTCAAGTCTAGCAAAACTCGTCAACTTCTCGAGCATTTCCAAGTATTTGGAACCCCGAATTTCTAAAATCAGTTCAAAGCTGTTGAAACATGAATTCAAGGATCAGTTTGGGCAATTCACCAAGACTAATTCCAAGTTTCAATATGTTGTCAGATGAATTAACTATGCGTGACTTTAATACGTACCACATACATATATCTCGAAGCATGTGTGAATGAAGAGTCGCACAAACCCCACAAGAAAATATATACGAAAGGAAGAAGTGCTAGTGTAAAATTACAAGTTGGTCAGATTAGATCTACTACAAGCATTCGTTTGCTCGTTTTACAAGTTAGTCGAGGAATTGAATCTAGTATTATACACAATATTTAAATCAAAATCATTTAATTATCAGATTTTTTACACGAACCTTGTTACCTGTATAATCGATAAGCATTTTCTGAATAGTAGAACAAAGATGAGCTAATAATATATGCTCTGTTAAAAGATATTGTATTGCATAAAGTTCTAAGCATTGTTGATGATATTACAGAACATCTAATAAGATTAGCTGAATGGCCATCCACCCCCCATCCCCCAACCCCGTTGGCCCCAATACACACCAAGACAAAGTTCAGTGCATGAAAAGATTATTAGGTAAAAAATGGTATTCAAAAGATTTTAATGCGAGAAATATACGTCATCACAAATGAATTCAAATCGATAAAATTGAGAGAACTACTAATAAAAAGACCCATCTAACGAAAAGCATTAGTGGCTTCACTGATGGCAAATGTGAACATATGATGTACCTGCCCCCCTAAAACAAACTTACCTCATTTATTTTTTAAGGTGTAAGGGCACCTTTGATGTCCTGTTTGAGATAGCCTCTGCTGTCATACGAAAATTAAATTTTAATGAGATTTGAGAAATTACAGTAGTTATCAGTTAAAAAAACACTCAAAAAGGAATATAAGAGAACAAGAGAAAAGAAGTTAAGCAAAAGTGATCATTTGAGCATTCCCAATCAGAAACAACGAAAAATTCTTAAAGCTGGTTTTACCGTGTTAGTATAACAGAAAACAAATATTTTTTCAAGTGTTAATGGAATGTACTTATAATTGTTTTAGTACTTCTGCTACTAAAAATATTTCCTATACGTAGTAAAAGATGCAAATTATCATAACGAAAGAAAATCAACCCTCAAGTGAATTAACATGATAGGTCCTGCATCCATCAAAGACATTAGTTTGTGAATGAAATTTGTGCTTAGATACAAAAAATGACTGAATATCTTCACTCTAGTACATATAAGCGACTTGTTATTATTTTAATAAGTAGTAAAATCGGAATTAAACAAACCTGTTCCTTTAAAAGGTTAGCTCCATTTGCAATCATCCAACCTTCTCCGATCCGAACTATCAACTACCCAAACCAAATCATCTGTTTGCTCAAAACATCCCATATATTTAGAGTATACCTACCATTGTCAACCTGGAAAGACTCCCTTAACCATTTGAAAAGAAGGAAATAGCATATGCATTTTCAATGTAAATTTTCTTTTACACAATTATCTAAACATGAATTAGCATGTCTGTAAATCAAGTGACTTATACTAAAACCACCTTTAAAATCATATTTATCAAGAGTTTGATGAATGTAGCAAATTTCACAGACAATACATTAAAATTAAACTCAAAATAAAAAAGTGCTATTATTTAGTAAAGCAATGCAAAATGGTTTGTGAGGTGAACAAAGAAGGAGGGGAGTTTTACTTCTGGCAGGTGATGGCTTTGACGTTAAAGCCAAGGGTAGGACTGACGACCCTAGTGTCCTCCCCGTTAATCTTCAAAACGATTGTCGTTTTGCCCGAATTATCTAACCCCCTGCACATAATAATCAAAGAGGTATTCGAACTCTATAAAGAGGGGGAAAAGAATGGGAAGAGCGACTAACACCATAAGAATTCGCATTTTCTTCTCTTTCCTTTTGATTCTCCGAATGATGCTGAGAAGATCCATCGTCGAAAACAAAGGAGGGAAGGAGAAAGTAACAATGACTATGACATCTTAATAATGGGTCATGTCAAGAGGCCCATCAATGACATCCATAGCAATAACAATACATTTTCAATTTATTTTGTTCTAAGTTGAAAATCGACACAAAAATTATACTTGCATAATTTTGGCTAATTATAGGAACATTTACTATTCATAAATTGTAATTGGCACAAGCGCGCTTACTTGATATTGAATAATAAAACCAAAACCAGCAACAATGTCAAAACAAATATCCATAATATGAAAGAAAATCAATAGCATTACATTAAACATCACAAGTTTAACAGTAAGTAATTAAAAACAATTACAACTGGGCATACATATCATAGTGAATAACAAACATTAACAAATCCAATAATAATAAGTCGAAGATGGTTGACTGACTTTGTAGTTAGGATATGTGGACCAACACAACACTATCTATACCAACTAGCAATAACAAAATACTACTATGTCATTATCAACATACAAAAAGGTCTTTATTTCAAGCACTTATTTGTTATTATGTGTAGTAAAGTTAAGGATATTTAATGTGTAGCGAATGAAATATTCACGAATTAAACCTTTTTTGCATTTAGATATAATCTGTTCCCACTTAAAAGGAAGTCATTTATTGGATTTATCAGATTTTGGTGCTCCTATTCTGACCTCTCTCTATAAGAGGACTCATTGAGTGAATGTAATCTTTTGTCCCTTGTATTGGATAATTATTTTGGAGTGATGAAATATTTTTTGCTTGAATTGAAACATATGAAGAGAATAGTGATTGAAATGAGGTATTTTTGTTATAATGATTAATCAAAGTTTGTATCATATAATAGTGTGATGGACTCTTTCAGGAAATATTTGGGGACTATGAGTTACCATCCAAAAACAAGGTTCAACAAAGCATTCGCTTTGATTGTACAATGAACAAGTAATAGTTTTGGTTGTACAATTATCAAAATATTGTCTCTGAAATGCGTCCTTTTTATTTATAACTATTTTATTAATTTAGTCCTTAGTAATGCTTTTAAGAGATCACTAGTGGTATGGTGATGTTATCATGTGGAGAAAGATTATATTGAAACAATAACTCTCTTACATTATAATGGAACAACTATTTTATTGTGAGTTTTCTATTTTATACCTTATTCACATAACAACTAAAAACCTTTAATCTTATTTTTAAATCTTATTGTTATAAATCCAACTAAGTCCAATAACCTAGTATTATATCACTTGATCAGTATTCATTTACTCAAATCTTCATCAATATTAATCCATCATTAAAACAATATATGCGAAGGTAACAACTTTGCATAAAATTTAATTCACCTCCAAATTTTCTAAATAAACTAAGGTTTCAATTAAACTCATTTCATTAATTTGCAATTGGTTCCAAATTCTAAATTCTCCTAAAACATATAAAATAAATTTCAAAACCCATGTCAACCTAGACAATTTAAACTTCAAATCCTAGTTTTTCATCAAATATTGTTTTCAATTCACAAAACCATTCACAATAATCATTATTTATATTCAATCCAAATCATCAATATTCACTCCACAATAAGGATTTGCAAACATCATGCTACTCATAACGTAAATCATAAACCATAACCAAATTTCAAACAAGTTTTCCAAAAACTTGGATTCTCCAAATGAATCTTCCAAAACTCTCATAAAATATTTAAATTTTCCAAAACTTCCAAAAATATTTAAGTTAATGTCTCGTACCTTAAATGTCATATTCGCTACCTTAAATGTCTTGTTCTCTAAGGAAGCTTTAGAGAAGTTTTGGATAAAAAGTGAGTAGAGGATATTGATAGGTAAGAAATATAATTAAACTTATAGTCGTGTATATCAATTTGTCTTTCTTGAGTTTGACGAACAAAATTTACGTTAATTAAAAACCAAGACGAGTTCAGTTTTTCCTGCTTTAAATAGTCGGAACGTGAGAATGGTCACCTCTCCATCCGCTTTTATATTTAAATTTAAATATTAAAATATTAATATTTTAAAATTTTTTTTCTCACATTATATATAAAGTCATTTTTTAATATTTTATTCTTTTTAATTTTCTTCTCTCCACCTTACACTCTTTTGTCTTTTTCAATTTCTTAAATCAATTAATTTATTATATTATTCTCTTTTACTTATATTTTATTTTTTTACATTTTTTTCCTTTTTATCTTTTTGTAAATATTCAACATCAATCTTAGTGATAAATACTATTATTTTATTTTTAATTTATCTTTATTAGATTTTATTATGTTATACTTTTAGATTTTATTATTCATATTGGTTATATATCAAATTTTCTTAATAAAATAATTATATTGAAGATTAAAAAGAATTGATAATTAAAATTTGTATTACTTTAAACTAATTAAATAAAAATTAATTTATTTAATATTTTCTCATAAACTATCAATTTCATATTTATAAATATTTTAAAAATGATAACTTTAAAAATATTAAACTTTTATATGTAATTAAATATTTAAAAACAATGTAATAATAATAATAATAATAATAATAATTTTATAAATATTTTATATCCATATAAAAATATATTAAATATTTTTTTACATATATATTTTAATATAAATATAATATATTCAATTATATACTTAATTAATAATAATAATTAAAATTATAAAATTATAAATATTTATTTTTATATAAAAATATATTAAAAAATTAAAATTAATTTATTATAAATATAATTATTTTTTAAAATAATATGAAACAAGGACGGATCAGGTGGAAAAACTTGAAACCCAATAAAGACATAAATGATAACTTAATTTTTAGCCCGTAATATATTAAAGTATATACTTAATTAATAATAATAATTATAAAATTATAAATATTTATTTTTATATAAAAAATATATTAAATAAAATATATTAAAAAAATAAATTAAATTTATTATTAATATAATTATTTTTTAAAAATAATACAAAACGGAGACAAATTAAGGACCGAGAAACCTAAAACTTAACCGAGACCAGAATAAAAACTTCATTTCTAACTAAAAATCGAGGATGGAAGAAGGCTCGGAAGACAAAATCCACCGGATTACCATGCCTAGATCCTCAGTTGCTCCTACAAATTTGATCTAGCAATATCTTTCCTCTGAAACCCAATATAATCATCCTAAAAATAAAAGAAGAAAAACTTAAAATATGAAGAAAACACAGTACTTATCCAACCAAATTTCTCTCATGAAATCGACCTACTTTTAACTAGCTATTGGCTGTCATCATAATCTCCTAGAAAATTTTGAAAAAGAAGTCAGAAAAATTTGAGTTTTAGAGAAAATCTAAGTTTAAGTTTTTATTTATAACTCTTAAAATTTAACTATATTGTTTTTCATTATTCATAAACTTTAAATAATCTCGTATAACACTTTTCAAAACGTGTCCTTGTATCACACGCTGTACAGAATGAAAAAATAAAATAAAATTCAAGGGAAATGTATAATTTTTACCCATCTTTAGTTATTTGCCAAAAACGTAGGATTTTACACTTTTGCTTATTTTCAATAGCTCCTCCCCTTTCTATAATTTATCTTCTACTTATAACACATTCTGGTTACATTATACATTTTAAATATATTATGGAATTTTTTAAAATTATATATTGCCATGCATTATACAGTTAAGTACTATATATATGGTTGTCGTTTTTTTCTATAAGAGTCCGAATTTTAAAATATAAGTGCAGTAAAGAAGTTGTAATTTGTATGTATAAAATATTAGATAGTATATATAGGTGCAACTGTTCTTTGATATACATAATGGAATTAATACAAATAAGCGAATTCACATAATAGGAGAATGCATGTGAATTGGATCCACATTGTGTTGGAATTTAATTTTTGAACAAAATGGTGTACCCTTAAAAAAGAAAAAGTGGGTAGTACGCAAGGGATCACTTAATGAATTAGGTAGTGTTGTAAAGTAGTTGAGGGTTAATTAAAAAGGAAGAAACTGAGTGAATGTACCTTTTAGCATAATTAGTCCACATAATCGAGAGGCCCGTACAGTATGATTAATAATAAGAAATGAAAAGATAAAGAAATGGTCTTTTAAGGCGCATAGTATATGCACAGTGGTTTAAGACCACCTTTGACCAAAAGGTTAGACCTCCTTAGAGGAGACAATTAGAGGTTACAGTTTGTAGGCTCAGATGTTATGATACTGACAAGAACTCAACTTTCTTAGGGTAGGATGACTTAATAGGGGTTCTCTTACAATACAATCTCCTTTTCTAAACGTTGGTCCACAGCCTCCACCCTCGTTTTACTACTTTATTTCTCTTCCCCCTCCTTTTCCTTCTTCATATTCCTATCCTATTCCATTTCTTCAATCTTGGTACTTTGACACCTTACCTGGCACTGCCAAAGAAGATCCCGTCAACAACAAGATCACTAGACCAATCCCAACCCCCCTACCCATTCAAACTATCTCTACTCTCAATGGATCACATTTGAACCAAAAAAATAAATATATACTATATGAAAGTGAATTGTCCCTAACCCCCAAGTGAGAGAAAGACAGACATTCCAGTTGTATCTTGTTGCTTTTGAGGAATGCAATTTTATGTGTTCCCAAAGTTTATCATCGCAATTATTGTGTTATTTATTTAATCTTGCTCTATATACGCATTCTTCTACTACATCTTACTCTTCCTACTACAATAATAATAATAATAATATAAAAATCTGCCTACCACCGCTGTTTAACTCATTTGCATGCATGCAACCAAATCCCTTCCACGATACCACGTGGCATCTAGATTGACGATATTATTGTTGTTATTATTTTTTATTTTATTATTATTAGTAAATCAATCTTAGGATTTTCGTGGAATTAGGTGTTAGATACGATTTGGGTAATTATTATATTTTTATTTATTTTGTTATCACCCCTTACATTGGGAAAGTGAAACACTGTGACAGATGGGTCCCATGAAATCCAACAAGCCACGTAACATCATGATTAGGAAGAGCATTACATGTAAGACCGTGTAGAACTGCGGTTGTGAGGCGGTGACCAATACTTACACCACTCGCATGCACGTACACTCTCCTATTGAAACCATACAAATAATATTTTAGCCTACAAGAAGAACACAAGATATACAACTGAAATTTTTTAAAATTACATTATACTGCATCACATTTTGAATAATTATTTATAAAAAAAAAATACAATTCTCAAAATGTATAAACATTTCTCCTCGTTCGAGGTTGTCCCTGATAATGATTACTCAGGAGTAACAGGAGCTTTATTATTTAGGATAAACAATAGTATGCATATACATTCCTTCACACGTCACATGCGAACCAGACAGGGCAGAAGAGGAAAGGCTCAAACTTCGAAGTGAAAAAATGCTATGCATATGCTCAAGATAATGTATTAAATCAATTTAAATATAATGTTAAAAAACATGAATTATAAAGAGTAATTTGATAGAACTATGTGAGCGTAATAGTATTATGATGAAGAATTAATTAAAGTTAATATGAAAGAGAGTGTGCTAGAGTATGATCCACGTAAGATGAGGTTGCGTGAGGATGTAGAAAATGTGTGGAAATGAAAACATAACCCTTGTCTTGGGCTAATCGTAGTTTACAAAGCGAATGGAGAGAGCATCTTTTGGAAAGCGGTGGTCGTCCCCGTTTGTCGAACTATGGTTCATCAATCTCTAGACGATCTGATTCTCTTTCTCTTTCTCTCTCCGTGAATGTTTTTGAATCTTTTGATCGAATGGGGTCGATACTCCAGAGGAGGGTGTGTTGGGTTTGGCCATGATGAAGGTGGGGTCTCTTTTGCGTTTTTTAATTCATTTTGAAGACATTTTTGGTTGGTTTTAGTAATTTATTCGGATTTGATTTTTAAATTTTTGCGACCCTTTATTTCTTTTTGGTATAGTAGTTTCTATCTTTGACCCATAGAAATGTGTTGTTGTCTAGTGGACTAGACACATAAGAAGCCAAGTGAGAAGCCAGGCTGAGTTGCTTTGATGATTGCAGGGTATCTCATTTGGGATACCTTTATCCCTTTCTCTCTCTTTGGCCACTTTTTCTCAGTGTGATCCAAAAACCAATCCAAATCTCAGGATCTTCTCTTCTTGTTCAGTTTTTCTTCTTCTTCTTCTTCTTCTAGCTACGGCTACTAATACTGTTGCCCCATCAGCAACTGCTCCTAAAAAGCAATGTTGGTGTGATGGGGTTTGGATTCGGGGCATGAGGTTACTATCATGACAATTGACGAACTTGGCTTTGTGTTTGGATTCACGTGATTCTCACGGTACGGATGGAAAAAACTGGTCGTTGTGTTGTGGTTTGTTCTTGTTCCTGCAGATTTGATGGATTGGACGGCCTATAACAACTAACGGAGATGTTATATACTTATCCATCTTACCATAACAAAGCAAGAGTAGTCATTCTTCTGTTCAACTTCAAATCAAAATAATAAGTCTTGGCACATATGTACACCACCACTAACCCCACCAATTGGACCTATCCCACCACAACTCATCAAAGTGCGTGACAAGCAAAACAATTAAATCGTTTATTCTCTAATAGTAGTATATTTCTATAACTTTAACCTATCAATACGAGTTTACACCATCTGCATCTCACCTTACAATTCAAACTAACAACTAGTAACTTCAGTTTCACTGCCGTATATATATATATATATATATATATATATATATATATTTTTTTTTTCAAGTGATTTTGCCAAGGATAAAAATACTGAACGCATCTTTATTTGACTCAGTCAAAGTAGAAATACAACCAAGCAAAGTAAAACGTAGGAGTACATATATTATTGTAGGTGAGTTACAACTAACCCCAAAATGAGATGTATTTACATGATATGGCTGGGTCTGTAGTTTTAACAGTTGTAGAGATAGATGCGTTGTGTTTAACTAGATGGAGGGCGTAATTAAGAGTTGAGAATATGAAAAGTTTTGGCAATTAATATATTGTATTACCAAGGGTGTAGACGGGTAGAGGAGTGTGGAGAGTAGATAGTAGAGTAATGGTATGTGGTGAAATAGCAGTATTGGGATTAGAGAGTGTTAGGGAAGAGAAAGGAGCGTGAGGAGTGGGAAGGTAGCTACACTCTACGCTACACTACTATTCCATTTTCCTTGGGGGATGGCAGTGGCAGAGATACGGATACAGACAGAGGTTTTGATGTATTGGGTTTGCGACTAATAAAGCCTCGTGATCGGAGAAGGCAGATCCGTGGAAGAATACTGTTTCCACTGTCACGTGCCCACTTTTGACTACCCAATGACCAAACCAAACAAACACTCCCTCGCCACACTTCCTATGTTACCCCTCCTCACTCTCTCTCTCTCTCTCTATATATATATATATCTGCTATAAATTAACATCATGCATGAGAAATTTTTATGCAGAGTCACAAACAGTGCCGCAGATAGAAACTCTCAAACGCTTCCTTCCACTCACTCCCTGACTACTCACTCAGTACTACTCTTCCCCCTTTCTCTTTCCCTTTCTTTCTCTCTCCCAACACAACCCCAGCCACTGGGTCCCTCTCTGTTTTTCCATGTCTTTATAGTTTTCATTCATACCCCACTATATTATATTGCACATACATTTGTGCATCTCTCTATTCGCAGTTAACGACAACGTGGACTGCACCTGCTGACTCGTATTTCGCCATTTTATTAGCTTATAAAGCTACCTGACAACACCCACTTCTCATTTCTCCCGTACCATTTTAACTCTTTCTTCCCACTGCTTCCTACCCTCTTTACATTTCAAACGTTTTATCATTGCATTTCGCTCCCACACTCCACTTTCCCCCTTGTACTTCTCTGCGCTCCCCCAATCCCTTTCACTCTCTCCCTCTCTCTCTCTTTTCCCTTCTTAAAACCCAACACTCGCATCGCCTTGCAGAGGACCAGTCCAATTAATATCGGCCAAGGCAATGATGCATCGCTGTTGCGGGAACTCTCAGGCTCACGTGATGGGCACGTGCACATGCGCCATGTTTCACAGCGAAACTAACTCCTACTCGATGCTCTTTTCTATGCCTATGCCCAACACCCACGGTCCCTATGATGATTACGAACACGACATGTATTCCTCCTACACGCCCTCTCCTTCTTCCGTGGACTGCACGCTCTCCCTTGGTACCCCCTCCACGCGTTTCACCGAAGACGAGGAGAGACGAAGCCGCCACGAACGTCGCTCTTCCGTCTCCAACTTTTGCTGGGACTTGCTGCAATCCAAACACACCACCCAATCTCAAACCAATAAATCCAGTAGGGGAAGCAATGCCACTTCCAACAACGACCCTCTTCTCGCTCGTCGCTGCGCCAACTGCGACACTACTTCCACTCCCCTCTGGAGAAACGGCCCTCGCGGCCCGAAGGTATAACCATTACCCTAAATCACTTCTCTTCATCTTAAATTCTTCTTTACCAAATCTTAACATAACATTCTTCATTTTCTCACTGTCTTATTTAGCAAAGTTCATACTATTTTATAAATTTTAATTATCAATAAAAAAATATTACATATAAACATATGACACTACCACTTTTTATGTGAAAGTTGTGCCTTGGTAAATGGAACTGGTCATATTTTATGATTAGTTAAGTGACTTTTACAAAAGAATTATCAAAAGCTTCTACTTGGTAACCTAGGGTGAGAATGATACTATTTTTATTTATTCATAAAGTAACGTCAAAGAAACAAAGTAGTAATTAATATAACTAATTTATGTTTAAATAATTGAAACTTGCTGAAATATATTTAATAGTAGTATTGCGTAACTAGTAGTGACGAGACATTGATAAGCCATTTGTTTGATGTACTTAAAAATTTAAGAAGAATCTCGGGAGTCTTTTTCGTACTTTAAGTATTATTCGATTTTTTAATGTTGTGTTTGAATTGAACTGATGCAGTCACTATGCAATGCTTGCGGGATCAGATATAAGAAGGAAGAAAGAAGAGCGACCGCTGCCGCCGCCACGTCAGCGGCTGCTCCCGGCGGCGTAATAGAATCGGCGCGCACGTACGGCCACCAAAGCAATTCTTGGTACGCACACTCGCAGATGGGTAACGAGTTACGCTTCATGGAGGATTCCGATGATAGAGACTCGGAGAATGGCATTCCGTTCTTCTCTTGGAACCTTAACGTTCCAGACCGAACGAGCCTCGTGCACGACTACACGAGATGATGAAGATGGCGATATCCTTGATACGTTAATAATAATAGGGAGAGAAAAAAAAAATGACAAGCGAGTAGCAGCTACCTTGACGTTAGAAGACCACGCAGGTGTACGTCGACGTTTTACGATGGTGATGTAGATGTTTTTGATTGCGATGGTTGCATTATGGTCTCGTCAATGTGATGTTTTTTTTTTTTTGACCTTTTCCTTTTTGTTTGGTTCCTTTTCTCCGTCTTACTGCGAAAGATGGAGTGAGAAGGGGATAATTCTATGTTCTTAGTTTGCTTTTTCTTTGGTCTTGGTTCTTTAACTTTCTCTTTCAGTTACTTGTTAATCCTACCTTTCTGTTGCTTCACTTTCCCTCTCGAACTCTCCGTTATATAGTATTTTATTCTATTCTCTATTGATAATGACCATGACAGTGTTGGCATGTGAACCGTTTGATGTGTTTGGTGCAAAGCCATTATAGGCTTTATGGTCCATGTTGCTTACAGTCATTAAAAAGAATTGCTTAACAACTTATTTTATAAAAAAAGAATATAAATATGATAATAACTTACTAATAAAAACTTCATTTTTGTAGTTTCATATTCAAAGATATCTTGTTTTAGTCTTTATATATTGGTTTAGATTTTAGAAATAAGAAAAAAATATATGTATTAAATGTAAATGAGATATATATTTGTAGTTACAAGATAAGATAATAAGAGCATTAACTAAATTGATATCCTTATCCATATGGAGATAATTATTCAACGGCCATTCATAAGTTGTAGATTGATACAGTTTGGGAAAGAGAGAGAGGTTAATGCATTTAATCTTGGTGGTGTAATTCTGACGGTTGGATATGTTTGTTGGATCACTGTTGTCTCTGAACCGGACACCCTGTGGTTCAGAACAGTAAAACTGAAATGTCTTTTTGAGCACTTCATCGAATCCTTCTGGTTAGCGTTGCATTGCACTTACTGCTATCTATGACTACTTTTTTTCATCGTCAAATCAACCATCATTAGAGGTATAGGTATTACTTCATTTCCTATGTCAAGGACTCATAAAAATGGTGTATTCTTATATTTAACAAAATCAACACTAGCTATTTTTTAAATTTATTATTTCTTCTAAAAATGGAGTCCAACAATTTTCATTGTTCTTTTTTGAAATAGTATAAAAAAAAAGTTTTAAGTCAATACTAATATCTAGTGCACGACATGACAAAAAAAAGGGTACTAGCTCATGTAATAAATATTGATGTTTACATTTCAGTATCCCACTTTGTTATGAGGCTGTGCACCAAATTTCATTCACAGTTCCCGTTGAACCATAAGAATTTCACTTTTAGTCTCAAATCATGTTTCAACGAAAGTGGTAAAGAAATTCCCTGTATTTACTACCTAGCTTTATCAATTGAAGCTATTTATAAAAGTTCTTAAAAACATTAAAATAATTATAAATATGAATTTGTTTCAAACTAAAAAAATTGAATAATTTTGTATGTGAAACTTACGTTGAAATAATAATTTTTTTTCAAATAACTTTTATACTCTAATTTTTGTTGGAAATATTTTAACACACTTTTTTTATGAAAATAATTAACTAAGACAACTTTTATTTAAAAAGAGTATACAAAATAAATATTTTCTAATTTATGCGTCAACCTTTTATTGATGTAAGATAAAGAAGTGAGATTTTTTTATTCTCGTTTAAAATGTGCTACGGATCCTATCATGAACAGAAAATATATATTAAGAAAAACATGAAGTGGTACAATGAATAAAAATAGATATGTTGGACAGATTATTTGATTTGATTTACTCGACCACATGCTAAATATTATGATTTTTAAGTTTGACTTGGCCAGTGCATCAATTTGACCCGTTTCAATAAAATATAAATTTAAAAAACATATGTTTGTAAAATATTATTTTTGATAGAATATATGTTTATAATTTAATATAATAATATTATTTTTATTTTTAAATTATAATAATTATTTTTTAAAACAAAGTCACCAGATATCCATGAATATACATTTTAACTCCATTTAGCCTCAAATTGATCACAATTTTTAGGCGTAACTCGTTTTACTGATTTCTTTAGATCATTCATCAAATTAAAAGATGTATTAAGAGTTTGAATGAATGTTTTAGATGACAATCAGACTCATGGGGATTTGATGAACTTGGAAGACTAATTTTATTGAGTTTGAAGAATAGTTTAGAGAGTTTAAAGGAGTTAGAACTTTCACTAATATAGATATTTTTTAGCTTTTCAAAATGACTTTGAAAAATTAGTCATGAATCTAAATCATTAAATATATAGTAAACATAGCGTTTAAACTATATAAACTTTAAAATGGTACAAATTAACTGTTAAAAAAATGTCCGTGGTCATTTCTGATTTATTTCTTTTAATACGCGGTCTATCTTTGCATTATGCAATTATCTTCATCTGTCAATGTGTGCCAATAAATATATTCTCCATGAGCTTCATATAACTCAACACAAAGTGATCGGAGAGAGAGAGAGAGAGTGGAAAGCATGGTGAAGCTGGTGACAGTGCAGGGACGGCGATGAGTTTCTGGGTTCCTTCATGGCGAAGTGGGTGGTGGCGGCGCTGAGGAAGTGCATGGTGGTTTGGTGTATTTTGGCCATGAGGGATTCACTTAGCAGCGTGGTGGAAGAGCTTGGGTTGTCTTGTCTTCCTCTGAATGAGGGCACTTTTGTCCGTTGATTCCCACAAAAAACTGTGTACCCGGAATGTTTACCCAAACATTAACGTAAGGTATGTCTGTCACTGTCTGTCTGTCAGTCAGACTCTTTGCTGAGTTGTTTCTCCCATCTCATAATATAAAGAAAACGTTCAAAAATATACAGTTAAATCAAACTGTAGTGAAATTAATATTAAGAAAAAATAAAAAAATTATAAAAAGAGAAAAAAATAATCTATCATCACTAAATCTTTCTATTTGAGTAAATAAATTTATATAAATTTTATTTAAATAATTTTTCTTTATTTATGCTTGCAACTATTTTTGGAATTTTGTTTTAATAAACTAAGAAAAAAGAGCTACTATTTAAATTTAGAGAAAATTCGATAACCCTGAATAAACTAAAACTTGTGTATAAGATTAAAAATTGTTGTTTAACTGAATAGTAGTTTCTCGTAATCTAATTCGTATTTTCTCCACTTACCAAATAAATAACTTAGTATTTTTATCTTGTCCATAATATTTCAACTAATATTGTTCTATTAGTTTTATTTGCTGTTATTTGAAGAATTATATTTTAACTTATCTAGACAATTAAGAGGTTTTTGACAGAATAATTAAAATAACCTATAGTTAGTTAGTTAGTTAAGAAAAGATCCGACGTTAGATAAGGTACAAAAGTTTTAGTTACATCGAATTTCGTAGACCACGGTAAGGGTGAGCTATTTATTCATATAATTTATAGTGGACCTAATTATTTACTAGTATAGATTTTGCATAATAAAATTTAATGCTTATTTTTTGGTATATCCAACTATTTAATTGGGTTGTTCAATGAAGTCAATAAAGTGATTATGTTTGGTTAGTAGAAAATTAGTCGAGTTGAATTATATTATTATTAAAATTCAAATAAGTGTTACGATTGTAGTTTTTTGTTTTTTGTCTTAGATTGTAGTTGCACTTGAATCCAATAGTTTGACATGGGCTACTATTTTTTACCGGTTTTCTTCTTAGGCCCAAATACGACGTTATGGTGTAAGTACGTGGGGGCTTCAGCTTTTCGGTGTCTTTATTGTTATGTTCCACGGGCATTTTTTTCCTTTTCAGGATAAAATGTTTTTTCTACAATAATTAATTTTTTTTATATTTTTAATTTATCTAATTTGAAATGTATTGCTCTCAATTTTCAAATTGGTTTGGACAGTACTTCATAAAAGAATAAAAACTTGTTTTTGAAAGCTAAAAAATATGTGTTTCAAGATTATAAAAAAATGGATTTTTTTATTAGATTAAGACTGATTTTAAATATTTTTAGAATGATAAAATTATATGTAAAAGAAGACTGTATGAAAAATGAAAGAAGACAAAAAAAAATTATATTAAGATAACTATTAATATATGATAATGTTATTATTTATAAAAGACACTTTCTCTCTTAGAACTTTTTATTTATTTATTTATTTACAATAGTTAAACCTAAAATTTTGTTGAAAGAATAAAAAACTTAGTAATAGGAATAATTTTTCTTACATGAGATTGTGTTGGTAATTATTCATACTATCTCGACGTGATATATGTATTACAAATTCCATAAATATCTAATATACGTTGAAGATGAGAACGTGTGTTAAGGATTTATATGAAGATACGGTGAATTAAAATTTATAAATGAAATGTGAACTTCATTTTTTAAGAAAGATAATTTTGTAAGATTAAGTTATATTTATATTTGCATTTTAATATATTATATTAGAAGCTATTGTAATAATTATTGTTAAAAGCTTCTAATAATTATCACTGACTATTCATATCCTTCATTGAATAAATATATAAAAAAATTGTAAGATGTGTAATTTCGGATCTGAATTTGAGAATCTTATCTTATAAATGGGTTTTCTAGAAATGAAATAGTTAATATATATAGGTTATTGTTGTTAATATTTTATTTTTATATTTAATATAGACTAGACACATGATGCAATTGACAAGTAGTAGTGGGAGTGTGTTACTAATAATTATATTCAACTGTGCCCATCACCATTTTTAAAGTGTGAAAGTGAAATTAAAAAATAAGTGGCGTACTTTAAAGTGGACAAATAATTTCTCACCAATATCGTCATATTGGGCGATGTGGTGGTTCATCAAAACTGAACAAGTAAGCGATGAGTATTAGTTCTACCACACAACTTTGTTACGCCAACATATCTACGCATAACAATAGACCAAAACGCAACCCCTTACACATAATAGTCTACATTCGATCCAGATTGCGTGCAAGAAAAGTGTACAAATCTTTTTATTAGATTTTATTAACCTGGAACGATCATACTCATTTTTATAACAATATTTTGCTTAGATTATAACTTTTTGGGTGAAAATCAAAGATAATTTATGTCTAATTCATAAAAAACTTACATTTAAGACAAAATCATTATAAAATCTCAAACATCAAAACCAATAATACCTTTCATAATATTAATGGTATAGTTTTAACGCAATCAATCTGAATTGAGTGTGGGATCAGAGTGTAGCATTGGTACATTAACAAATGTTGTCCTTTCCCCAAAAAATGCAGTTAGTGAGCGACAATTAACCGCCAGCGATGTGTTGAAATTCCTCCTCCCTAAATACCTTTCCTCTCAGTATGGCGAGTGATAACAACCCAGCACCAAACCTCATTAATCCAAGTTAACCTTCCTCGTATATATAAACCCTTCTTCATTCTCCACAACTTCATAGCCTAACGCAGAGGGATCACAGAGAGAGTAGAGAACATGGTGAACCTGGTAGCAGCGCAGAGGCCATTGCTGCATGTGCTGATGAAGATGGCCGGGATCAGACCCTACACGGTGGAGATTGAGCCCGGGACGTTGATGAGTTTCTGGGTCCCTTCTGAGACCATAACGAAGCCCAAGAAAAAGGACGAAAAGCCCAAAATCGCGGCCAAGCCCAGCAAGCCCACGGTGGTTCTGGTGCACGGTTTCGCCGCGGAAGGAATCGTGACATGGCAGTTCCAAGTGGGGGCGTTGACAAAAAAGTACGCTGTTTATGTTCCTGATCTTCTCTTCTTCGGAGGGTCGGCCACCGATAAAGCCGACAGGTCGCCGACGTTTCAAGCGGAGTGCTTGGTGACGGCGTTAAGGAAACTTGGGGTGGAGAAATGCATAGTGGTTGGGTTCAGTTATGGGGGAATGGTGGCGTTTAAGATGGCTGAGATGTACCCTGAAATGGTTGAAGCCCTGGTTATTTCTGGGTCCATTTTAGCCATGACGGACTCGCTGAGCGCCACCTCGTTGCAAGAGCTTGGGTTCTCTTCTTCTTCGGAGCTCTTGCTGCCAACCTCTGTCAAGGGTCTTAAGACACTCTTGTCCGTCGCTGCTCACAAAAAACTCTGGTTTCCCAACCGTTTGCACAAAGATTTTCTTGAGGTATTTCTATCTATCAATTTTTTTCTTCCCTCACAATCACAGTTATATATTTCTTTTTCTTTTTCCTAAACTTTCATTTTCCATGCATGCATCACTAAGCTACAAATCTTCTACATTTCTGTACAAACATTTTGCATCGTATTTTTCAAAAATTAGGACATGTCTTTACATTTCTCTAATACTTCGTAATTAAAAAGTTGTTAAGTTATAAACATTTTTCCGACACAATTTATATATATTTTTGATACGGTTTGAATATAATAAAGAAAATGTTTAATATCTTGGACATTAAAGTATATTATATTTATATTGTATTATATAAACAGTTGCTCTATATTTGGTATTTGATATTTTGGAGGTTTGACGCCAATTTCTTGTTTATATATATATATATATATATATAATATGTGAGAGAGAGAGAGAGGGGGGGGGAGAGAGAATATGAATGAATGAGAATGGACTGAGATACTTTTTGTTCTTCTATTTTGTTTTTTGCTAGGATAAAATATATTTTATCTTGGAAAATTTAAAAGTTTATTTTCTCTAAAATAGTTGTCCATTTTTTAACTTAAAAAAAATATTTTCAGAAAAGTTAGATAACACTTGAAAACTAAAAATAATGTGTTTAAAAATTGAAAAAACCAAAAATTGACAAAAAAATAAAAATAAAAATAAAACATATATATTTTTTTAAAGATTAAAAAAATAATTTACTATATATTCTTAATATTTGTTTTCGCCATGCTCCTTTATAGTTTACTTTGCAGTCATTGTCAAATAATTATAATAAATTTTTTAAAATTGGAATTTCCCCCACGAGATATATATCAGAGGGATGATCATGTTAGGGAGTAAATAAATAAATTAGAAATAAGTGTAGATATGTGTTTAGTTTTTTGTTAATAAGATTTTGGTTTTGTTTTTTTACTTTTTTATGAATTCTAAATCACTATATTATTTAATGGTGGTGATGTAACATGTATTTATTAATGTCCACGATTATTTTAAGGCAAATGTAACATGTATTTATGTTACATCAGCGATTTTTTTAAAATGTATTAGAGAAATTTAAAATGTATATATATATGTTGTTTGAATATATTATGACTGGAGTTCACAGGTGTGTGTGTATATATATATATATATATATATATATATATATATATATATATATATATATATATATATATATATATTAAATATTCTAATATTGTTGGAATAAGAAATGTGAGTACAAAAACTTAGAAATGTAATAAGTCAAATAATATCTTGATATTTTTAGATTGAATGAGATGTGAAATTAGTGGGTGAGTCTTTTATCATCCATTGATGGAGGTCTAACCTCCGCTAACCCATGACACGACACACTGTGACATTGATGTCATCATCAGGGAAGAAGAGCTCCATTGAATATAGAAATGGACAAATCAGTAAGTGAGGTCTGGCTGTTTGGATATATTTGGTGTTTTTAAGCCACGGGAAATTAATTAACAAAAGATATAATCTACAGTAAACCATATTAAAATAGCAGCAAATACTATATTTACTTTGATTAGAGTAGAGAGATAATTAAGTTCAAGTTGCGGTTGTGTTTGATAAAGTAAATTGCAAAAGAAGGTAGACCATGTAATTTATGGAGACATGGATGAAAGAAGAACGTGGATTAGTTCAACCACCTTCACCTAATTAGCAATTACATACGCAAGTTTGAAAATAAGGGTTTTCATGGACTCGTCAGAACAGTCTATTCATGAGTTTGACCTGGACAATACTTTTAGGAGCTTCGTACATATGCAGAATATTCTAATCAAGTCATGCAAAATGGAATGAATATGGTTTAGATCAATCCATCTAATTATTACTTTGCCCCGTGCTTGTCAAAGTTTGAAAATGATTAAGTTAAAAAACACTGTCACTGAAACATACAAATTTGAAAGCATGATGCGAAAATATGTTAATATGAAAAGGTAACTTTGGAAGTAATTTTGGTTAGAATGGTTTAATTTTTGTTGAGGAATCATGTGCAGGTGATGTTCACGAATAGGAAGGAACGAAGTGAACTATTGGAGGGCTTGGTTATTAGCAACAAAGATATCACCATCCCCAAATTTTCTCAGGTGTAATTTGCACAGCTAGTTCTAGGTGTAAATTCGTGTTATACGTTCCCTCATGCACGTGTTTATTCTTACCATAATCTTCATACTCCTTTGCAGAGAATACATCTTTTATGGGGCGAGAATGATCAAATTTTCAAACTGGAGCTTGCACAAAATATGAAAGAGTAAGGCTCTTTATGGAAGAAAAGAAAACCTATGCGATATTGCAAAACTTAGTTTAATATTTAATAAAAAAATACTTTCAGGTAAGGGTTTGATGAGATTATTAACTAAGAAAACCTAAAACACTAAAATATTTTATCTCTGCAAACCAAAACATAAAGATATACACTAATTTACAGTTGCATCATCTCAACAAATAATTTATGTGGAATAGTCAATAACACAGATTGAACAACCCTAGCTATTCTTCTTTATTTAGAGAGTCGGTGAGAGTTGTTGTACGCAGTATTATTAACACGTGTGTGATATATGTTATGACAGACAACTAGGGGATGACTCAACCTTAGAAAGCATAAAGAAAGCTGGTCATCTGGTTCACCTGGAGCGACCCTGTGCCTACAATAGATGTCTAAAGCATTTTATTGCTTCCTTCTTGGCCTCAAAATAAAGCCAAAAAATCTCAGTAAAATTTTCAATTCTATTCTCTGCTATCAGATATTATGTATTGGTCTTTAGGATGGAGGAGATATCAAATATATAAGCTGTCTCTAATGTCCATTGTATTCTAAACAGCTATATATAGATTACTTTTTCGTATATCTTCCCTTCCAATTATTATTTTTTAAATGTTTTGAGGAAATAGTATTCCTCAAATTTTAAAAAATTAATAAATGATTAAGTATTTGATAAAACTATTACAACCTCTTCTTCCATTTTCTTTCGTTCCATATAATAAAAAGACACGGAAATATTATAATATATAAATGAATTAAATTAAATATTTTTAAGATTTTTATAATGATAATTTATATATATATATATATATATATATATACATATATTTGGAAATAGTATATTAAAAAAATCATTAACCTAAAATATTTTCATTATATTTTTCAATTATATTTTGGAATAATTAATTTATTGAGAAATATTTATTTTATTTTATTTTGTATAAAAGATAAAAAAAATCAATGCAATTTTGCATACTAAGCACGATGTAACATGTGTTTGTAGTGGTGTTTAAAATGCTCATGTAACCTTTCACGTCAAATTTCAAGTTTAAATAAGTTTTATATCTTGAATGTGATTAATACCAATATGTTTAGAAATTATAGTTTTCTAAATTTGAAAAAAAATGTGTATTTAGTACTTAAAATAAAAATAGATTTTTTATTTATTTATGTCCATGCAAAAGCTATTGAGTTGAGAGGAACATCATATCATAAGTGGATCACACAAAAGATAGAAGAGAAGCATAACCAAACATGTTAGTACTGAACAAGTCTCCAACCACATTATAAGTATTTATTTAGTCTAACAATTACTAATATGAGTGAATAAAATGGTAAAATAAAAGTGTTAATAGCATTTCTCCTGATAAGAATATCTGCAGAAAACATTGGTTTTCTGGAGTTCTCGCGTATTTTATCCATCACAATTTTGGAAAGATTCTAAAACACTTCAACAAGGAAAGAAAATGGATATAAATGCGTCAAAATGAACCTATATTCTTCAATTCATGCTCGCTTAAATATAAACTCCAAAATAATCATGTATCCAGATAAATCTATCTAACAAACGATGCCTGAATTTCTTCCAATGTTCTGTCCTTGGTCTCCGGAACCCAAAGTATCGCAAAAACAACGGTGAAGCCAGAAAAAATGGCGTAAATTGTGAATGTTCCTGTTCACAACCAGGCACTACTCGGTAAAATTAAATTGCATGCGAACAATACTTATGAATAAACAAAGACAGGAACACAAATAGAGAGAGAGAGAGAGAGAGAGACCTGCACTGCTCCAATTAAAGAGCAAATTTGCAGTCATGGTAATTACTGATGCAATGAACCAATTCAAAAAGGTAGCTGCGCTTCCAGCAAGGCCTTTAATATTTAGTGGAAGTATCTGAAAGCCACAAGTTCATTATTAGCAGTTGCTGCTCAGTTTAGATGCATGCAGTTATTGCTTAACTAATGAATTTGAGATAATAAGACCTTTGTACCATTCTGTGTCAATTGATATTTTAATGGTTCTGTCTCACAGTTGAAATCTAACTCTTATGAAGTACTCCTCCACATTAAACAACATATCTCACTTTCTCATCTAGCCTGCACCATAGTTTTACTAATATATCTTCAAGCTAGTAAATTTTGGAAAACTGGTGAGTGTTCTCAATAGTTTGAAAAATCTTCTATGTTCCAAATGTTTTTCATTCATTCAGACAATACATAAGATTTGATATATCTCCAAACTTTTGATTGACCTACAATGTCACATAAGATTTAATAATTGCAAAAAATTCTCCAATAATTGTCTCACAGTTCTTAAAATCAATTAAAAATAATAATTACTGATGTAAGGAACTATTCTTATATAACAGTTGTCCCGTAAATTGTTTTGATGGTAACACCAAATAAACTTGTTCTAAGGTTTATAGCTCAAAGAGCAACAGGTACAAAATAATATGTGATTTGATCAATACTACAAAAGACACGATTCAAACCCATTCTCAAATTTTATAAGCAGAAAGAGGTGCTTCTGCATACCTCAGACATTATAATCCAGGGGATAGGTCCAATGCCTAGAGAAAATCCAATGACCAAAGCCTGAACAGCAACACACTTGATCAATGTGACGAAGTATAGAAGATATGAAAGACGAAAAGAAAGAACTGTGCTAAATCGATAAAATCATACCACAAGCCCCATAACAGAGAGCATTGCTAATATTTGATGGAGGTCAGAGTCATTTGATACCACTCCCTGGATTCAATAAAACAACGCTATTATTTAACACAAACAGTACTAATTTAGCTATGTTGAAAAGATCAGCTTCAAATTAGTGATTACTTAGTATTGTTACCAACCTCCAAATAGAATGCGGTAGCTACGAGGAGGAGGCTAAGTGTCATTATAGAGGAGGATAGCTGCAAAAGAATTAATCAATGTAAATTAAACTTCTCAATTGTTTTTTAGAGATAAGTAGTTGGTGGTGGACACTGATGAGAAGAAAATCTGTCTTAATACTCACTATCAGAAGCATCCTTCTTCCACTTCTGTCTACTAAAGAAGTAGCAATTCCAGTCATTGCGACCTATGTATATGTAAGATTAAGAAATTTGATTAACAATGAGAATTTATAAGTTTGACAATTTGATACTCACATGAATGCAATATCTATTATAGAGCTGTGTAGATTTTGACCTGCATAGCTCCAAGTCCAAATGTAGCAACATCACTGGATGATATTCCTATTAAATACCACCACCATTCAGGACACAAAAGGGTTATTGCTATAATACAGCCTGACATAACACCAAAAGTGATAAATAATTGATAGAATAAATTGTTTGATTAAGTACCTGCACTTGCAAATATCTTACTAGAATAGAAAAAAACACCGTTGATACCAGTAAGTTGCTGGAGCACAAGTAGTCCAATACATACCTGCAAGGTGCTCGCACTCAGTTAGCTTTATTTGAATTATCAACCAAACAAATGATAGCAAAACAATGGTGTGAGGAAAGTGGATAGATCGAAAGAAGAACACCAAAATGGATTCATATGTATACCATTAAAGGAAACCAATATCTCCTCCTCTTGAGATCTCCAAAGTGTAGAGTATCTGTTTTGTTATTCGACACCAGAGAACCCTAGCATGATAATTAAACATCTCTTTACTAAAAAGTGGGGTCCAAGTGAAGATCGATTGGCTTTTGAGTTATGTGTGTGTGTGTGTGTGTGTGATGAAGGACCTGGATTTCTTGTGCTTCCATAGTAATATCAACGTTGGGTCCCCGTAAAGTTTGTAAAGAGGCTTCAAACTTTTCTATCATGCCCATTTCGGCCTAGACATTAAGAAGGAAAATTGAAATTCCAAGAGATTTGCAGAGAATAATAGAAATTATCCATTTATTAAATATAATATACTTCGTACGATTCATACCAGCCATCTAGGAGATTCTGGAACGAAATATAGCCCTGGTATTAGTATTCCACATGGAAAAACTCCTGCAAAACAAGAATAGCGAATGCTTGAATAACAAATAATTTGTCTTCATCTATGTATGTATGTAGGTTGGACAACCTAAGAAAGATATTAATGAGTTGTTTGACGTAATAGCACTTTTCTTTTTACAAACTCTACATATTTACCTTAATTTTTAAGGTTATCTCTAATTTCATCATATTATGTAAATAACATTATTCATTAATTTGATAGTAGATATATAGAGTTAAACATTCACCTAGTATTGCTAGAATTCTCCAATTGACAAAAAGGCCTAACAAATAAGCCAGCATTATTCCAATCGTAATTGAGAGCTACAAGAAAAGAGCATAAGTATATGTATTTATGTATGCATAATTGGTTGGATATACAGTAATAACTTATAGCACATGTAAGGCTTCATCACAAACCTGGTTCACAGATCCAAGAGTACCTCTCATGGTTCGAGGTGATATCTCAGCTATATAAATAGGTACCTAAACACAACACATCGAATCCCAATATATAAATTAATTATCTGCTACTTTCATGAAAAATTCTCAACCTGCCCCATTTCTAAAACATTTTAACTCCTTCTCATCTTAAGAAAAAATATTATATTTAATAGTTAAAATTAATTTGTCTTTAATAATATATATATATATATATATATATATATATATATATTAAATTATTATAAATATTAATGAAACATGTTTCCATTATTTTTCGTAATTAGTAAATTTATTTTTTATTTAGTTGAATGGGTTATGCACACCAACCATTCAAACAAGGGTTATGATTGATTAATAACCTATTTTTCTCAAATATTCATCTAACAATTTAGTTTTAAGTTTTTATATTATTATTTATCTATTTTACTTCGTTATTTCTCTCTTAATTAACTAAAAAAAACATTTTAGGATTGTCTATGTTTAAAAAACTGGGTGTCAACGAATTTTTTTCTTCCGAATAAATCTATGAGATGATTTGTAGCGGGTAAAGATAGACTAGCAAAGCATTACTGTAATATATTTTATTTGTTATTTATTTAACTTAATTAAATAATTTTTTAATAAAATAATTCTTATACAATTCCTACCTTCCCAAACTATATATTCCGAAAAGTCAAAATAAACTAACAGTCTTTTGGAGTGTATAGAGAGGTTAACTAGGACGATTAGTTTGGTTTAGGTGTCACATTGAGTGACAAATCATCCTTCAACAAGTCTCCCACACCACATGTATTCCACCTCACTGGGACCAAATTCAAATGGAGTAATATGAATAGCTTCAAACAAGTCCTCTTCCTCCTCCTTCTCCTTCGTCTCTTCTTCCTTATGAATGATTTTGATTTATATTGATTGTGAGGACTTGAAACTCCTGCTTGATGTTCTTTGGATATTGTGAAAATGGAAGTTAGTGAATTTTTATCTTTTAATTTCTTTGGATTGAGATACAAAAAATTGTTTTTTTTTTCACTCTTTTTTCAAATTTCCTTTTTGATCCTGTTGAGTGTTGATTTTTGTGATCTTATTATGAGTTTTGTGTCTCTCAAAGGTGCTTCTGCTTTGAATCTTATACATAAGGGTTTTATCATGGTTCTTTTGTAAAATCTCAAGTTATATCATATAGTCACATTCATATAAATAGAGACGAACTCTATGGAAATGTTATGTTATTTTATTTTTCAAAATATTTTTATGGATATTTAAGAATATCTTCAATGGGAGTTGCTACCAAGAATTATTTAAAAATTAAAGTAAATATTTTATTGTAAGGTTGCTTAAAAATGGAGAAATTTTTTTAAAATAAAAAAAAAATTGTTTGAATAAACAACTCTAACCATATTTTAAGTAACTCAGATAACTCAGATATATGACTCATAATAAAATATTTAATTTTATTCTTAAACAACTTTAATTAAAAATTCATTTTAAAAATACCTTCGATTTCCAAAGTAGTCAAACAAAGAACTAAGATAAAAAAAGACACCAAAAGAGTTCAATACTCCACGTCATGAGAAGCACTATTAAAAGAACCCACTTACCAAATAATAGGGCAGAACAACAAAGTAAGGAAGAGATTCACAAGGAGGAAGCTTAATGTTAGACTTTTTAAGAACAAATCTTAACTAACGACTTCAATGGAATTCCTTTGAGAAGCTCTGAGAGGGAAGGGAATGTTGGTTTTGAAGAGAAGGGATTTTGGTGTTGTTACTAAGATAAAAAGTAGAATAAGTGTGACTGTCCTTAACCTACTAATCCTTGGGGAGCATATACTCCTATGTAACATCTACTTATTCTAGAGCGTCTAGAGAGAAATATGAGTTATAATATTTGTAATTTCCATCTAACTTGCTAGAGGCAGAAAAATTTGTTTAATAGTAAATTTTGTCATCAACATAAGATTAAACTTCGTTAAACTTTAATTAAACAATCTTATTTCTGCTATGTTGTTTTTCACTTCTTCCTTGTTTTCTTTTGTACGATAGATAATTCTATTTAGTGAACTTATAATAATATTCATTGTTTGAACTTAGTCTTCATGTTCGAGTCAAATTGAAGCTTAGTTGGTAGAGTCTAAATATCTTCATTTCATATTGTATATATATAAGTTAGATATGTTCAAATCCAATCAAATAATAGAAAATTGTTCCAAAATTTTAAAATTGAAGTTATCCAAAACCCAACCAATTTTTATTTTATTTTTGAATATATTTTATCTTAATTGAACAATTCGGTTCAAATTTTGATTTAAAAATAACAAATAAATCAAATTTAAACTAAATAATTTACTATACTTAAATGTAATATCATATGTTTTGAGATAATTAAGAGCTAATAAATATATAGACTTATATTCATTTTGATTGGAACTAATGAAGAGCTATCGGGAAGTGAGAATTACCACATAAGAGATTATTCCCACGCCAAAACCTTCTATTAATCTTCCCATAAATAGGAGCGAGGAATCCTAGAAAAAGAGTAATCAGAGGGATATGATTAGTAGGCCATTATAGTAATTAGAACTAGAAAGTAATGAAAGAAACATGTACATACAAAATGTTAATACTCACTTTCGCTACAGAAATGGCGAGCCATCCAAATATATTTGGGACTGCTGCGACTATTAGTGACTGCAATTATTCAACATGCCAAAATAAGAAATTTCAAAATTAAAATTTAACCTTTTTCTATGAATGTCTTTTATCCTCGTCTAAAAGTCACTACACTTTCTCCTCTATACCTTATTATGTGTGGGTCTCTAGCCAAGCAAATGTTAAACATGCAAATTTACTAGGTAATGTGAAATGGTGAAAGCAAGTTTCGGTGCCTTGAATGCAATGCCGAAATTTTTAACTTTCAGTGTTAAGGTGTGAACTGGCATGTCGAAACTTGATAATTACTAATTCTTTAGAAATTGTGAAGATTGGAATATCTCCAAAACGATGAAATCATATTGGCAACAGTAGTATAATACCCCTTTACGTCCAAAGTATTCTGCTATTTGACCACTGACTGTTGCTCCCACCATTGCACCAATGTTAGATAAAGATCCAAACAGTGAAAACTGTCTCCACAACATATTCAGCAAATTAGTAATCTGGTTCAGAATATCTTTTGAGATTCAAACACACCCACCAAATCTAATAGTAATATCTAAATACCCTTGAAATTGAGAGATTAAGATCGCGAATCATTTCAGCTTGTGTTGGAGATGAATAACCACACTGTATGAACATTATAATCACCAAGGCAAAGCAAAACCCCATAAAAAGATTAAATAATAATCAAAACACATTAACAAAAAGGAGTGAAAAGTGAAAGGACATTGTGAAATTGTAGATTTGTATAAACACCGTGAAACCGAATTGGATAGGACCCAACGCAACGAGGAGAACGCATAGCACAACAAAGAGGTTGTCATTTCCTGCGTTGTTGTTGACGAAAGGTATTCTAAGGTTCCTAGCCTCCTCATAGTCCTCCCCCAAAGGCATAGCTAGTGTTGAACCCAAATTTCTTAGATTAGTTTGAATTTCAAAGGTTTCGATAATAGACACTAACTTGATTAAAAAATTTGTACGAGGTTGTGAAAATTCAAGAGGAACAGGATCTGAGAAGTGTAAAATGGAGCTAGGTTTTGTTTGACATGTCCGGGTCATCTGGATGTGAGAGAAATATGTGGTGAAAAATTAAAGATTCATGATCATGAGGCCTTGACCATATCTCTCTTCCCTGCATAAGGTGCATATGTCACATCTATGTTCTTATTCATTTTTTGCATCAAAATTCTGCCACGTCACGTGGTAGTGATTAATTGAATGTGCAAACTCATGTAGAAAGGAAAATACAAAAATCTATCACTCATTTTCTCCTAAACTGGATAAAGTCTAATAATGTTCCGAGTGAATTTTGCTTCCATCATTTAATAAAAGTTATGCAATTTAATTTTATATGTATCCTGAAAGTTGAAATCAATTAATACTGACCTAAATTATAACATTAGTAATATTATCACTTTTACCATAGATAGAAAAAGTGATTTACTTATAACTGAATACAAAGTCAAGTACATGTGATATTTTTCGGGTACATAAATGTTATCTCCTTTCATAATGTTCTCCCATAATCACCAGGTGAATATTGTGTTTTTTATCTCTTTTTTTTTTTTTTTTGTAAACTTCTATAATAACGAATTTATTTCCAGTTACAAAGATTTGTATACGAAATATTGGAAAGAATTCTTGTTGAACTATTTAGTTGAAAGCATATATTTATTTTAATAATAGTTAAATAAAGGATAATAGCATGATTATTCATTTCTTTTATTCTCCGTTCATAATCTCTCCTCTATTCATATTTTGCATTCTACTCAATTTTTGTTGTTGTTGAATTGCTCAAACTTTTGAAGGTAGACTACATGAACTGATATGTTGTGAGCTTCTTGGATGGTTATGGTCATAGTTTTTCACTCCTTGGGAAGGCTGTCAGGAATCTGTAGATTGTTTTGAGCTTTGATGAACTCATTACCAAGGCACATCATCAATGATTTCAATATTTTGAATGCTGAAACATCTCATAGTATCTCATCGAGGTTACATCTTTCTATCAGATAGTTTATACAAATAAGCCTCATAATGTTTTTAAGGCTTTGAAATGAATTTACTTAATTTCAGCTTTATTAAAGTTTATCCAACCTGTTTGAATCCTCTGATCTGTATTTCCACATCATTGTTCCACAATACATAAAAAATAGCCCAAAATGATACATCTGGTGGTTGTTGCCGTCATTTTTGAATACTACCACAATCATTTTATTTCTTAATTTGTTTACCGGCACATAGGAGAATCAGCCAAAACCAAAAAAGTAACAAGAATATTATTAGGCAATAATTGAAGTCATCAAGGTGAATAACAAACAAAGTCACTGCAAATTATTACAAGGCAAAATATTATTTGTGATAGATGACCCCATTACCACAGATGCCTATTACAAGGCAAAATATAATTTGTGATAGACATATACTGACTAGAAGATTTATTTCCTCCTTCTTTTGCTACAATAATGTTTTAAAAAGAAACTACCAGTAGCTTGTACAGTAAAATAACACTTGAACTGATTTTTCACCCCTTCTTTTGTTACAGAAAATCTGATACACGATAAATACAAAGGCCTAAAAACACATGATATTGGACTCCTCATTTAAGTTTAAAAACATGACAGATTACCTGTGCTCTCCCATAAAATATCTATCTAAAGGAAAACTGAATTTCTTCCAATGTTCTTCCTTTGGTCTCAGGGACAAATTTCACTATAAAAGCAATAGTTATGGCAGATACTGCTGCGTAGATTGTAAATGTCCCTGCAGACAGTCAAGTCAGCATTGTGTTGATATTGATATAAGCATACAAGACGTGCGTTATAAACACTTACCTCCACTGCTCCAATTTAAAAGTAAGTTAGCAGTCAACGTGATCACCCACGCAAACAGCCAATTTCCCATTGTCGCTATACTTCCAGCAAGGCCCTTTATATTCACTGGAAGTATCTGAAAAGCATTACAAAACAGGTAAGAAACCACCCCACATATTCATGAACACAATTAACTCAATGCCTGCAATCATGATTCAATATCCAGAAGTGGCATGGTGACTTCAGAACCAAAAAAAAAAAAAAAAAACGAGGAACCATTACTAGATCCTTCCTCCTCTGATTATTGTTTTGAGTACTGAAAGTATTTCATACCTCAGACATTATCAGCCAAGGGATGGGTCCGAGGCCTAGAGAGAACCCGATCACCATAACCTACAAAATTCGTGATCAATCAATAGATTGCTAAAAACTTAAATTGCAAATTGTACAAAGAAACTCTAACCAAGCCCAAGAAACATACCACAAGACCAACAACAGAAAGTATTCCCAAAATGCTGAATAGTTGTGAATCCTCTGATACAACCCCCTGGTATAAATCAAATGCAATAGTTAAAAGCATGGCTAATCTTATGAAATTGAATTAAGATGGCACCACTACTATTACCAACCTCTAGATAGAATGCTGTTGAAACAATGACAAGGCTAATTGTCATTACAGATGAGGATATCTGTAGAAGTGATAAAAGATATCAAATTTGTTTAACTAAATAACCATATTTTAGTATAGTAGATACTAGAAAACAGTTATGCCGAAATGAATTTTGCTTTATACTCACTATTAAAAGCAGCCTCCGCCCACTTTTGTCCACCAACCATGTGGCAATTCCAGTTGCTAGCACCTGAAAAAAGAGAGCTGATAATAAGAACTGAATTCACTACCATTATTTTCACATTAAACATGTATGCAGTCTAGGCTTTATTATGCAACCTGAATGGCACCAAGTCCAACTGTAGCAGCATTACTAGCTGAAATTCCTGTTACAATACAGAAAATCAGACACTAGATCAGGTGCAATTCAAATCCGGGAGGCATTACAGGTGTCATGTAAATTCATCAGTTTCTGTTACCAAGAGTGAAAACCCAAACCAATAGAAAAATACGCTAAATTAGATCAGAATTAACCATCGAACACATCATTAGAACATAAAATCAGCTGAGTCATTGAAATGAAATAATGAAGTAGATTTTGTGTCATTCAGTTACAATTTCCAGCATATATCTAACATCTCAAACCATGTTATACTTCATTCACAGGAATTTTTTAGTATTTGAATGTTTAAAACTCCCTTCATCCTACAGATTATTTAACACCATTCATCCTCCTCTCATCTTCTCACATCCTCACCCTAAACCAACAAAATTGTCATCCATAATTAAATTTAATTTAACAGTTGATAGGTAAACCTGCGTTTGCAAAGATGGTAGTTGAATAGAACAAAACTCCATTGATGCCAGTTAATTGCTGAAGAACAAGCAATCCAATTCCAACCTGCAGGAGCTCAGTTAGCCAAGAATGCTTGACTTTTGGGATAAATCACAATAAGTTGTGCTCGGGAAGAAAGGATTTGCAAAAGAACTTAGACAGCACCATATTATACCATTAAGGGGAACCAATATCTTTTCCTCTTGAGATCTGCAAATCGGATTGCAGCTCTTTTTCCTGTTGAAGCCACAGATCTCTAAAAGGTAAAATGGTTAGCAGTGCATGTTTCTGAAACACATTCTAAAGCTATACTCTGCAACAGGCAAAATTTAGCCACACGACAAAGACCTAAAAAAAATACCTTAATTTCATGCACTTCCACAGATATGTCGGTGTCAAATCCTCGTAACACTTGCAAAGAAGTCTCAAACTCATCTGTCATCCCCATCTTGGCCTATACTTCCCCACCAATCAGGGAACATAAAATAAAAATGAAAGAAAAGCAGAAAGATAATCAGCAAGAGTATAGAATGCCTTGCCATCCTTTTTCTGGAAGGAACAAGTATTTTAACAAAGATGAAAGTACAGAAATTTCATCAGCATAATGCATAACATATCCATACCAACCATCTGGGGGATTCTGGAATGAAAAATAATCCAGGTATTAATACTGTACAAGGCAAAACTCCTGCAGCAGAATATAAATTATTTTTTGTTATTATTTAGGTTGCAAAAACCAAGTAATGATATGCTCTACACATTAATGTTTGGAAAGTGCAAACCACAATCTACTGAACCTTTCGTAACTTCTTAAGAACATCATGTAGCAGACATTTCAAAATTTTAGTCATGTATGTGTCATACCCATGCTGGTCATATTGTGAGACACTTCAGGTTTGCATACTTCTAACTGCATGTTTCATTTTTTTTACATTTATTTATAACAATATTACACTAATATAAAATAATAACTAGAAAAATTATAGCATCTTATTATGTCAGTAATAACTCATCTCACTCTTAACTTAGATTCCCTCTTTTGATTTAAAATTTGTATTTTATGCTAAATTTATGTGTAAAATTATTATGTCATATTCATGCTTTCTATCGCCAATCAAATTTACCCCCTTATCCCATAGTCAACCATATTTTATTTTATAAATGTTGCTCCTCCCCTGCATACACAAATTCCTTGTATTCATTTGTGTAAAAACTAGATGACACTAATTTGTAACCAAGGTATCCAAGAGTTTCATTCATCCATCCACAAAATACAAGCCTAGTAAATAACTAGAAATTTACCTAGAATTGCAAGCACTCTCCAGTTGACAAAAAGGCCCAACAAATAAGCCAGCAAAATGCCGATTGTAACAGAGAGCTGAGACAGAAAAATTAAAAGAATAATGAATATTAAACTTCAAATAAAACAAAAAGGATAAATAAAAAATATGAGAATCGTTATGGAACAATAGATTTCAACCTGGTTCACTGATCCAAGGCTACCTCTCATGTTTTGAGGTGCAATCTCAGCTATATATACAGGCACCTAAAAATCCAAAAGAACCCGTGCACAGACCACTTTCACTCAGCATTTTAACCAATAAGCCCAACCAATAAAAATGATTAAGAAAGTCGATCCAATTTACCACATAAGAGATGATCCCTACGCCAAAACCTTCCAACAACCTCCCCATAAACAAAAACGAGGAATCCTACAAAAGAAACAAAACATCATTGATTTATACATATAGAAGGCAGTCATAACTACAGCATCAAAACCAAACCACTCGTACTTACTTTGGCGAAAGAAATAGCAAGCCACCCTATTATATTGGGAATTGCAGCAATCATCAACGACTGCAACATTACAAAAAACATGCTAAAATCACCAATCACTCTTCACATTCATAGATTTTCCTTTAAAATATTGACTTCAAAACAAACACAAGAAATTAATAAATCGATAAAAATACCCCTTTGCGCCCTATGTATTCAGCTATCTGACCACTTGCTATAGCCCCCACCATCGCGCCCACATTGGACAAAGATCCAAACAAAGAGAACTGCAACAAATTCAACATATCAAGTACCAAAACTTTAAAGCTAAACCACGGAAAATAAAATCCAAAGAACACACATATACACAGTAGCACCTCCGAAACTGAGAGCTTTAGATCGCGTACTATAGCCCCTTGAGTTGGAGAAGAATACCCACACTGTACCAAAAAATATAAAAAGTAATTAAAAAAAAAAAAGACATTTTTTATCCAACTCCTTCACCAATAATACAAAAATTAACAAGAATCTTATCCAACAATAGATGAGGTGGACTACACGAAACACATGCAAATAGCGCTCAATTAAATCTAAACTCTTTATCCTACTCCATTTATTGATAGATACACTAGAGGCAATCACAATGGCTGCGGGCAAAGTTCTACTTCCTAATATTTATAGAAGTTGCATATCATGTTCGAACTCAAGATAATTGTTTAAACTAAAAATTATCTAAGACCTTTAAAGAAGAAAAAGTACAGCGACAAATCTGACGATTGTGATAGAATAAAGTATATGCATGACAAAATCTAAAAGTCAGATTAATGCACATTTCTTGGTGTTTCCTTACTGTGAAGCCGAATTGGATGGGACCCAAGGCGACGATGAGGACGCAGAAGAGGACGGAGACAGCGCCGTCGCGGATGACCTGAGTGGAGGATCCCATGATGCTGGACTGCCTGGAACCCATCTTGTACCAACTCCCGGTGTGCAGAAACGGTTTCTGAAGATCCCTGGCATCTCCAGTCTCTTCCCTGAAACTCATCCTCAAATCCAACCAACCAGTTCCAACTAGTGGCACTCGAAAATTGAGACAAATTTTACTCGCAGGTAGAATTTATTTGCGAAAATGTCCCGCCGATGTTAGGATTTGGAACGCTGCTTTGCTGTGCTGAGCTGTGACTGACTAGTGTTGTCGCTTGTGGTGTTAGAGATTGGCAGTATCACGTTTTCTGTGCTTGATTATATTTGTGAATTCGGTCCACCAGACGGGGAATTATGATTGATTTATGAACCTTAGGGATGTGTGAAGGGTAGCTTTGGTCGCATAGAGTTTGGTAGTTTTAAAATATCTGGTGAGTCAATGAGTGAGTGACGTGTCACTGAACGTTGGTTTTGGATTTAGAATTCGTAATTTTTTTATGTAATTATTATTATGTTATGTTATTATTATTATTATAAAAGATTGTTAAATAGTCATCTATATAAAATAAATAAAATTATTATCCTCTTCATTTTTGTGTACTGGAACTTGCCACCACAAACTCCCATCTCAAGGGGTTCGTGTCAAACAATTATTTATTAAAATAAACTTTTATCTCCTAAATTTTAGAATAATTCTTTACAAAAATAATAAATTAAACTGTTTTGATATTTCGATATCAGAATTTTAAAATGAATAATACTTCAAAACTATTGTGACTGAAAAAATATTATTTTGATAAGAAACATAAACTTTTCTTAAATTAAATGAGATTTAATTTAAAATTTAAAGAAAATTAAAGGAATTAAAAAATAACTTTTAAAATGTTTGCAAGAAATTACGAAGAATTTATTCTTAGTCTATTTTATATATTTTTTAATTATAATAATTGTTTTTTAAATGTGTATTAAAGTATTCTTTTATTTTAAAATAAAAAATAGGTGATATATTTATGATTAAAATAATTTATTTAAAAAAAAAACATAAGAAAATAGTTTTCTTTGTTTCAACTGTTTTAAACAGTAAAAATTCAAGCACGAGGACCTTTTAAACGAATTTGCTCAACTAGACTTAGTAATTTTTAAATGTCAAAATTTTGAAAAATCATGGTACTTCTTTAACATATTTGATCTGCCTTTCTTCTATAAAACATGTTTTAAAATTTTAAAGTTTAATTTTTTTTAACAAACCATTGTTTAATATTTACTAGTAATGCTAGGTTGTATTTCACACGTCAATTCAAATATATATTTTTTTATTAATGTGAAATTTTGTATGACCATATTATTAATATTTGATAAACAAGTTTTTTTCAGCTCGCAGCGCTTATTAAATATATTTTAAGTATATACTTTAAAAATGTTTATTTTTTATATTTATTCTTATCTTTTTTCTTAAAATTTTTATCAAGTTTTTTTATTTTTAATATAAGACATGATTTTATTATTTATTTTTCATAGAATTTGCTTTATTAATTTTACTTTTTTTACATAAAGTAAACTTTCTTGTTTTAAATTGTTATTAAATAAGATATTGATCATCATAGAAAATAATTTTGTTATTATTATTATTTATTAACTATCATATTGTATATGATATTTATTTTTCTAATTTAGAATTATTGTTCGATATAATAATATTTATAGATGATAAAACTTTAAATTTTACAGTGCGTCTGAAAAAAAAAGTGATGAAAAACAATTTTTATTTAGAAAAAAAAAAACAGTTCCAAGTAACAATCTAATATTAAAATGAAAAGAGAAGGTGGCACGAGTAATCAAATAAAATAAAAAGGGAAACTCTCAATCTATATTATTCTAAATTTAAAACTTGTAACTATGAATAGTAAGGATTTGTAATTTAAATTAGCTAAAATTAAAAATAAACATTTGTCCTTTACATTAGGCCCATTAGTTTTGCTTGTGTGGTCCACTAGATTTTTGTTGTTTCGTAAAATGGCCAGCAAAGCCCATTAAGTGTTATACAAAGTGCTCCTAGTTGCCTCCTGACTTGATTTTACGGGCCTTGAGTGAAACTCATTAGTATTTATTATTGGGCTTTTTTTTCACCTCCACAAGTATTGGGATATTTTCACTCTCAGAAAGCCCATTTTAAAATGAATGGGAAGTGCCCAAGAATTTAATGCAACATGCAGGAAGATGTCCTCTTTTATAAATTTATCATGAACTATTCATATAATTTATTTTTTATTTTAAAAAATATAAAATATAGATTTAGTGTCTCACGTGTCACCTAAGTAACTGACTTGATTTTATTCGGATAAACAAAATTTTGTAAGATTTTTTTTTAAATTATTTTATTCTCTCCATTTATTCCTTTTTATTCAATTTTGTAAAAATATAAAATGTTTATAATTGCTTGAAACAATTTTTATTAGAGAAATCGTAAGTGATATAACATATCTTCAATAAGAATATCTCATATAATTTACTTTTTATTTTGAAAAATCATAAAAATGTAGATTTATTTTGAAAAATCATAAAATGTAGATTTATTATGATATATGATATTTGGGTAATTCACAATTGAGTTTACTTTAATAAAAATTTCCCTAAAAAATAAAATAAAATAAAGAACTACAAGATATTACAAAGATAATGATTATCCCTTAATGAGGAGCGATTATCAAGTTGTAAGGAGCAAATTCGTTACATGAGTGCCTGATTTTAGTCCATCTAGACATTTTGATGCAGTCTTATAATATCTATCAACTATTTCACAAATTATTTTTCAACAATAACATGATAATAAACAAGTTCAAAGTAATCAGCAGAAGGTGATCAACAACAAAATAATTCGCCTAAAGGAGGATATATGAATTATTAGATATCTTAGAACTTTTTAGTATAAACTTTATTTAAGATTTAACTTTATTGTTTACATAGATGACTTTTATTATGGTCTTGGTTTATTAACAAGTTTTTTAAAATTATGTTCTAAGTTTGTGTTTGATATCATGTGTTCATAACTTATGTTCAACATTGAATTTGATATATATATATATATATATATATATATATATATATATATATATATATATATATATATATATATATATGAATATGCAAATTATGTACGAATGAATATTTAGATAATAAATGATTGAATATACAAATATTAAAATCTAGTTGAAATATTATAAAGAAAAAATATAGATAAACTTTTACTGAACGGTTGTCAATACTTACGGATATATCAATAGGTAATTACATACAAATATATATAAGTAGGTAATTACCTATGGATATATTCGTACGTAATTATTTATTGATGTATTTGTATGAAAATTTGTCATCAGAGTGGCGCAGTGGAAGCGTGGTGGGCCCATAACCCACAGGTCCCTGGATCAAAACCAGGCTCTAATATTTTTTCCTTTAAAAATATTTATTGTTTTTGTATATGTTGTTTTTTATTTTGGGCTAACCTATTACAAACGTCATCTACCGATAATATCCAAGCGGAATTTTCAAGTGTCTCGGGAAAAAAGTGTCTTGGTATTGTTTTCAATAGTCAAAAGTGACTTCTTATACTCGATACAATCTTTTTTATTATAGTAAAACAATTTAAGAATTCTTAGTGAAGACTAAACATTTATATACATAAATTAAAATGTTGGAAATTTATGGTTATGGAATATCTATTTTTTTTTATGTAAGAGATATATGATACGGTGAAGTTCCTTATATTAAAAAATACATATTCAAAGATTCTAAAATCTCAATTGTGATGTCAAGTGTTTTAATTCATACAAAATCATTATTCCATGGTTTGATGACAAAAATTATGACTTGTAGGTTATGAATACAATCATATATTTAAGAACTAGATTTATAGGAAAATTGTGAAAGATGATTATATCATTGATCCATTGCCTGAAAATTTCACCATGACCTAAATAAAAATTAATAAAACAACAGGGAAGGCAAAAACAAAATTCGGTTTATTTCCCAATATTTCACAAACGATCCTCGTTAGAATTATGACCATAAAACAATCCAAAGAAAATTGAGATTGTTTAAAAGTATAATAAAAACAGAATAAGAATATTTTGAGGCATGAAAATTTGTCATCAGAGTGGTGTAGCACAAGTGTGGTGGGCCCATAACCCACACCATCCTTTGCTCTTTAACGAACAGACTGCTTTGTAGTTCATCAATCATCAACGTATCCAAATTATTTTACTCCTCAATTGAGCAAACAACATAATTAAATTTTGGAGTCATGGACCGCAAGATTTTTGCAACAATAATGTTCTCTCGCATGCTTTCTCCACACAACTTCATACTTTTAGCAATTTTCAAGGTGCAGGAAAAATATAAAATCATTGTTTCATCTTCCTTCATTTGTAGCATTTCAAACACTCAGATGCAAAGTTTGTAATTGTGCTATTTTCACCTTTGTAAACCCTTAAACTTTTGTTTCATAGAGTCCCAAATATCTTTGGACGTATCATCATTAAGAATGGTGTCTAAAATGTCACAATTAATGAATTAATATAAATAGTTCTTTATCTTCAAGTCCTTTAGTTGTTGGTCTTCCATGGTTTTGACTTGAACTTCTGACACAGTTGTTGTTGTTTGATTCTTCCATGTTTCGTCTTTCTTTGTAGAGAGAACCATTGGTCACACTCACGGGTGCACTCACACACTCACAACTATTTCTCTCTCACACTTGATAAAATGTTGGATAAAGCCCCTATGAAGGACTGATAGCAATTGTGAACAAATGTAAGGTTTCTCTCTGTTTAGTGAAACATCATGTTATTGAATTCAAATGTAGAACCTAGGCCTTATAGCCTTACAACCATAATAATAATAATAATAATAATAATAATAATAATAATAATAATAATAATAATAATAATAATAATAATAAAAGGGTAGTTTTCTAAATACATGACTTCATATCCCTAAATAATAGTTTAGTTTGTCTCATATTTTGTTTAGTTTGTTTAACTTTGAATGCAAAATTTAAAATTTGTTCATGTGGGATTTTCAAGTGTCTATTGGGAAACGGGTGTCTTGGTGTTCTCTTTTATAGTT